CAATATATAAATATTATGCTTTAATTATTTTTTTATATCATGACATTTCAATTCTTTGGAGTATTATATTAAATGTTTTTTAATCAAACCAACGGTGCTCTTTTAGGGGCAGATAATTAAGTTCAAACTTTAATGCAAAGAGAAAGTCACAAAAACCTTTTGCGGTGCAAGTAGGAAGTTACTCTCTCAGTTCTTCATAAAGAACACCACTATTTTACCAAAACAGAGGAAAATTTTTATTCTCCTCAAAAGTGTTACTCCTCCAGTCCTGAATATAGGACCCAATTCTTGAGTTGAGTTTGATCCTAAATATAAGACCCATTTTTTATATTTATTAATTTTCTCTAAATTATCCATATGGATACTCCTTCAATCCTAATCAAGCAGAAGATGAAGAGAGAGCATTAAGAAAGATAGTTATGGTGTTTTAGGAAAAATGTGTCATTTTTCTTATAATTAACTAACTTACCTAACTTTATTAATATAATCAAATTAATTAAATGGATCTTATATTAAGGATCGGAGGAGTACAAATGATTCTTAAGCAATGCTCCTACTTTTTTTTTGGTAGGTAAAGTAAGGATATCTTAAAACACATTGGATTTAAAAATAATTTTTTTTGGATTTAGAATGATTAAAGAATAATCCTCCTAACAAAAAAGCTTTTTGATATTTGAATTTGTGTTCTTCTTATTGTGAGGTTAAGGTTGCAACTTTCTTAACTAACAATTTGTTAATACAATGCTCCCACTTTAATGAGAGGTATAAGAAAATTTAAATGAAGTTTTGGGAAGAAATTAAAAAAAACACAAGAAGGAAAGAAAACGATGAAATGAATGAAACGAAGCCACCTCTCATGTTCCTCTGCGCAGACGCCACTGCTGGGAGCGTGATTTGATTTTTTGACGTTGTTTCAATGTGTGTCAGAGGTTACTGGGCTACGATTGGACCTGGCTTCACTCCGCTGCCCTCCTCTACCCAAAACACTGCCGTTTTGGGTGCAAAATGAGGGGAGCTGATTGCTTTTTTTTTTTTTTTTTTTTGTATTTTGAAGTTTTTTTTAGTAGAATCTATATAATACTGAATGTGACAAAAAATTATTTTAGGATATTTGATACTTATAAAAAAAATATTTTAAGATACTAAATGTATCAAAAAATATTTTAGAGTATTAAGTGTACCAAAAATTATTATGAGACATTAGGTGCTACCAAAAAAAAGTTTTAGATGCTACTAAAAAAAACTTCAAAATATAAAAAAAAAAAAAAAAAGCAATCAGCTCCCCTTATTTTATACCCAAAACGGCAGTGTTTTGGATAGAGGAGGGACCTTGGCAGCGGAGCAAAGCCATGTCCGGCTACGAATGCTTTTTAAATTTCAGAGAATTACAATTTTTTTCATTTTTTTTACTTGATTATTATTAAAAAATATTAATAAATTTAATATAAAAAATAAAAAATATATATAATATATCTTACATATAAGATTATATTAATTTTTAATTAGGTTATATATTAAGAATAAAAAATAATATTTTTTAAAATATTAAATCTGGATGATATGGGAGATAAGCTGTCCCCACAGTGAACTGACGTCTCTACTCTCATCCTTCCGCGTCAATGGCAATTCCACAGCACATTCAATTCATGCATGTGCCTGTGGGCCCGACGTGGTGGATACTACACTGCTCAATGGTACGGAATTCTGACTAAATATTGATGATGGAAATAGAAGAAAACCAGGAAGTAAAGTTTTCCCCTCTATATATGTATAATTAATTTTCTACTATGTACGTAACTTCCGCGAAAGTCATAGGAAATCTCTCTCAAACTTCTCAGAGATAGTAACAATAGCTAGAAGTGTTCTTTATTTGGTTTTGTAGACTTCTACATATATCAACATTGTTTTTTTTTTTTGTTTATTTCTTTCTAATCAATAATACAGCCAGCGATGCTATCACATTTTCATCGGAATACTTGTCAATTACAATCACATTCTAAGGGTTTTTTTTTTTTTTTACTACACACTCTAAGGCTGCAGTTTTTAACTTTTAATGATTCTTAAATAATCTTAATTATGGCAAACAAAGTAAAGGATCGCGTGAAAACTTGTTTAACTGTGGTAACGATATTCATATATCGCACTTACTCTGTATAGAGGGTACAAAAAAAAAAAACCAACTCATCAACAATACAAGTCAATTATTCTTCAGTTTTTAATCTCTCGGTCCATGTTTACAAGTTTACTTTCTCGGTGGATTGTTTTAGCGGGTTGCTGGAGTGGCGTCCACGTAGATTTCGGCTGAGATTTTTCATTAATTATTGTTGCTAATGAATTTTTGTCCTTAATATTGTTTGCTAATGATTGTTACCCACAACAAATTGTATCTTGTTGCAAACCAAAACTTGCATAAATAATTAAGTTGGAAGGCAACGACAAGATCTATTATCGTTTTTCTCACGTCCCCGGGAGTTTATAGTAGGTGAAAATTCTCCCCATTTGTTCTCTTATATGATCTGTTATATAAATAGGTAAATGTTCTTTTTCATTATAAATAATAATCATATGACCGATCATGGTGGGTATAATATGGTTATAATGGTAGATGCTCTGGACCAAGTTATTATTTTCTGTCACTGTTCCGGAAATTACGCACCTAGCCATGACACAATATTAATCGCTATCTCTTTTTGACTTTCTTGTCAACAAATCTCGGTTGTTTGTCTTATATCATATTCATCAGACACGTTTCAACCCAAAATGTTGTTGAAAATCCACGTGTCCCTCCAAATCCCAGTACGGGAATAGTTTATTAGTAAGGGGAGACGATTGCCCATGTATCAGATATTAAATTATGGGAATAATTGACGCAGTAGATTTCACATCTCTGTCTAGCAAATAACGTGAAATGGTAGGTAGAGGTTAAAATTGTAAAAGAATGACTTGGTCTAGCATGTTCAACAACCTTTCTTCCTCGACTGTCTCCTGTCTGATGAATTTATGGCTTAATGCAAATACTGTGTGTTGTTTTTTATAAGCAAGGGGATTTATATTTTCTCCGTTACTGCAACTGAGATGACTATGTTCCCAAGTGAGAAGATAACGAGAAGATGATTCAGTCCATGAGGACAAAGAATGAGAGCCTAGGGGAAGTCACAGGATGAGTTAAATTTAACAACATGGGAATAAAAGAAAACCAGAGAGCTGAGTTCTAGGGTGGATGTGTGGGTGTGTCTTAATTTTCTACCGTGCGTAACTTCCGCGAAAGTCAAAGAAAATCACTTTCTAAAGTCATAAATCATCATTACGTCTCTTATAAATATCATAAATATGAATATTTGAAGAGGTAAAAGTATTTACTATGGAGAGCAAGCACTCTGATGTTGCGCACTTTGACTATGTATCAAAAAGAGAAAAAGAAAAAAAAAAGATTATGGGAAGAATAAATTTTGTGAAAAGGTGATTCTGAGAAGTGAGAGTGTTTAGATAGTTATTATCAGAAGCACTTTTTATATATACAAATTACTAAAAAAAACATAAGTTAATATGATAATTACATAAAAGATAGATTTTATGATATATTTTAATTTCAAAAAATAAATTTATTAATAATATACTTTTTTACCAACATAATTAATAATATATAAGAAAATGTAATTAATAAATAATTAATATATGCATATATATTTATAAACAATAAGATTAAATTTTTTTATAGAAAAATGAATAAAAAGTGTTGTAATAATTAAGATGTTGCATCGATAGAGAGCATTTGTAATAGTTTTTTTTAACTACATAGTACCAAAGCTTTCCTTCAATAAAAGTTTAAAACCTTGTCTATATATTAACTCTCCAATTAAGTCTTATATTAAGGATAAGAATAATAAATTTAGGGAAGGTAGTAATTATTAATATATATATACATATAATATAAGATTATGTTTTTGAAAAAATGAATAATTTTTTGGAAAAATCCCAGAAAAAGCTCTTGGAATATACCAAATCCCAGATTGGGTCCTTAAATTTCGAAAATGACAGAATGGGTCATTGACCCAATCTGTCATTTGTGAAATTCAGGCGAATTGACAATTTTGCCTCTAAGCAAAAGTGAGTAGTTATTCTCTAAACAAATATAGGTAACGCTTACACTGTTCTAGTGATTACAATATTCGTTGTAGTTAATAATAAGGTATTTGACAATAATAAAATACCCGACTATGAAAAAATGAGTAGTTATTCTCTATTCAAATCTAGATAATGCTTACATTGTTCTAGTGATTACAGAATTAGTTGTAGTTAATAACAAGACACCTGATTATGAAAAAGTGAGTAATTATTCGCTACACGAATCTAGGTAACACCTAAACTCTTATAGTGATTCCTTGAATCATTATAGTGAATGAATAAATGAGGGCAAAATTGTCAATTCGTCTGAATTTCACAAATGACAGATTGGGTCAATGACCCATTCTGTTATTTTTGAAATTTAAGAACCCAATCTGGCATTTCCCATATTCCAAGGACTTTTTTTGGGATTTTCCCTAATTTTTTTTACCAGAAAAATATTATTTTAGGGGGAAGGAGAATCGGTCAAAAGATAAAAGAATCAGGGAGGAGGGGAAGGCGTGAAGATAACACTGATGGAGCAAACAATTTCGCTGACAACATTGGTTCAAAAAGTGAAAAAATGGGCAAACCATGGTTTTAAAAAATTAAAGGGTGTTTGGATATTTTTTAGACTAAATCTTGGTTTAGGCTTCAAAAGTGCTTTTTCATATAAGCCAAACACCCCCTATTATGTATCAAAAAGAGAAAAAGAAAAAAAAAACAACAAAAAAAAAGAGAAACAAATTTAGCTTTTTTAAACGGCAAGTTGCAAGTTGCTTTTGAAAAAGTAAAAGGCATTCGTTGCTATTAATACCCGAGTTGGAGTTTGCAGCAGTACTCACCAAACCTACAAACTAAGAATCATAAGAATTTCTTTCGCTCACACCAAAAAGATGGACGCCATAGCGGGGAATGTTTTCCAGGGACTGACCTCTTTGGCCCTTGAACAGTTCAAATTGCTGTGGAGTGCTAAACATGATGTAGAAAGCATGAAGAACACGATCCGTGCCATCAGAGCTACACTGTTAGATGCAGAGGCAAGCGCCAACGACAGCCATGAAGTCCGCTTGTGGCTGGAAAGATTGAAAGATGTCCTCTATGATGCGGATGACCTGCTTGATGATTTGTCCACTGAAGCTTTGAGGAGGGGAATCATGACTGGAAACAAGGTGGCAAAGAAGGTACGGATCTTCTTCTCAAAATCAAACCAAGTTGTTTTTAACTTTAAGATGGCTTATAAATTGAGGGAAGTCAGGGGAAGGCTAGATGAAATTGATAATGACAAGAAACGCTTTTATTTGATGGATCATCCTCCTAAGCCTCTGCTTGTACTTGAGGAACGAAAGCAAACATACTCTGTTGTGCAAGATGAAATAATTGGGAGAAAGGAGGAAACGGTTAAGATTTTAAGTTATTTACTAGACAGTAATGTGAAATCTAGCGTTTCGATTATTCCCATTGTTGGATTTGGAGGGTTAGGCAAGACTGCACTTGCTCAAGTTGTGTACAATCATGTGGATGTTCAAAAACATTTTGGGCTGAAAAGGTGGGTATGTGTGTCTGAAGAATTTAATGTAAAACAAGTAGCACAAAAGATTTTAGGGCAAGAAAGTCGGAAAAACTTAGAACAAGTGCAACAAGAACTTAGACAATTAATAGAGGGAAAAAAGTTTTTGATTGTGTTGGACGATGTGTGGAATGAAGATGTTGAGATTTGGGATAAGTTGAAATGCTTATTAACCACAGGTGTAGAGGGAAGCATGATAATTGTTACCACACGTAGTGAGAAGGTGGGAAATATGATGAATGAGACCTATTCGCCAATCATCCTTGAAGGTTTAGATGATGACAGATCATGGGAGTTGTTTTGTAGAATGGCTTTCGAAGGGGGTAGAGAATCAAATAATAAGGAGATGTTAAAAATTGGCATTGATGTTGTAAAGAAATGTGGAGGAGTTCCTCTTGCTATTAGAGCTGTTGGAAGACTTGTGTATGATAAAATCTTAGAAGGAATAACAGATTTGTCATACTTAAGGAATTCTGAGCTTTGGAATATAGATCAGTTGGAGAAGAGAATCTTCACTGTGCTTAAACTCTCTTATGATCATCTTCCTTCACCCATGAAAAATTGCATTGCTTTTTGTTCCTTATTTCCAAAAGGTTTTTTATTCCACACACAAACACTAATTCGAATGTGGGTGGCTGAAGGATTCATTCAATCAACTAATAAGAGGTGTAAGGAAGATCTTGGGAATGAATATTTTATGAATCTACTTTCAAGATCCTTCTTTCAAGATGTCAAAAGAGGTTCTAGTGGTGACATAGTGGGGTGCAAAATGCATGATCTCATTCATGATTTAGCACAATTTATAGCAAAGGATGAGTATCTTCTCATTAAAGAAGAAAAAGCAAAGAGTACTAAAGACACAATACGTCACTTAGCATATGATGTGCCGAGAGAAAATTGGGAAGTTCCAACTTCCTTTCTTGAGTTTGAAAAATTAAGAACAATGCTTTTGTTCACCCATTCTTTTTCTTCTCAGATGGATCACCCAGTTTTTGATTTGCTTGCATCAAAATTGAAATTCTTACGTGTTTTGGACCTCGGGAGTTCGTTCATGAACAAAATTCCGAAAAGCATTGGAAAATTGAAGCATCTAAGATTTCTTGATCTTTCATGTAATGATATCAAGCAAGTCCCAAGAACTATTACCAAACTTTACAACTTGCAAAGCTTAAACCTCAGTTGGAATCCATCAATTCGAGAATTGCCAAAAGACGTTAGTGAATTAGTAAGCTTGAGGCATCTTAACCTTACGGGTTGTGATGGGTTGGAATGGATGCCAAGTGGTTTGCGGCAATTAACTTCTCTTCAAACCTTGACAAATTTTGTAGTAGATAACCGGGAGATGCATAAGAAAAGGGCAAGTGCAAGGATAAGTGAATTGAGTGAGCTCAACAACTTGAGAGGTATTCTAAGAATAAGTGGGTTGAAACACCTGAGGTCAAACCCTGAAGAGGCCCAGTCTGCAAGATTAAAAGAGAAGGAACGTCTTCAACAATTATCCTTATGTTGGGACCCATTATACTCTCCGTCTGGTGAAATCTCGAAAGATGCTTCTGATGAATTGATTCTAGAAAGGCTCCGTCCTCATCATACCATCAAATGTTTAGTCATTGAAAGATTTTGTGGCGAAAGGTTACCAGACTGGATTGGAAATCTCATGGAACTACGATATCTTGAGCTCGTGGATTGCTGGCATTTGACATCACTTCCTGAAGGTCTTCGTAACCTCGCATCATTACAATCACTGCGCATACATAGATGCCCATCGTTTGCCGCTGATGATATTCGGCAAGATTTTGCTCGTATTCCAAGTGTGCGCATTGTATAATATTGGTGGTTGGAGTGAATGCATTGCACGCCAAGCGCAACACATGCGATCCCCCCACAGTGTAGTAATCTTTTGATGGAATAATGTTTGAGTAAGCAGTAATATGCTCATTATTAGTCCCTTTTTTGTATGCGTTTATTTCATTGCCTTTATTGTGGACACGTGATTTGATATTGTTGTGGCATGTCTCTTTCAGCGGTTAATGTATCTCCTTTTTAGTTTTTTTTAAAATTAATATTCACTGGGGACAATTTGATACTTTTTGCCCGAGTGCTTGATAAATATGATCACATTCTAGAGTTGTGATCTGTGAATAATGTGTTCTTGAGAAAACTGTGGATGTTGATTTAAAAAAAAAAAACGATTTCATAATTAAATTTAATTATGTCGAACGAAGTATCATCATCTGAAAACTTGTTCTTTGAAAATATTGGAATGTAATATCAAATTTGGTCAACATCACATTATACTCCTCCGGTTCTAAATATAAGATCCTCTTTATATACTATAAAGAGGGTCCTAAATATGTAAAGAGGGTCTTATATTTAGGATCAGATGAATATTTTATGTAACTCAGAATGCTTGATTTTTTTTCCTGGTTTTCTTGCTATTCATTTTAGTTACATGTGCACTATATATGACTCCTAGCAACATATATGGCCATATTTTCTTTCCTTTTTTTTTTTGAAAAATAATTTCAGATATATTTTAAATAAAAAATTATAGAAATTATATGGAGCTATATGTCTTAAAAGATAAAAATAACATATTATTAGTATTTGGAGAAAAAAGTGTAGGACAACCCTATCTCCTCAAGTCTGAACTTTGAACCACTTCTCTTTCTTAATTTTTACGCCTCTTTTTCCTGTTTTGCTCATTAGAGTAACAAAAAGATGTCTACAATAAAATTTTTTTAAAAAACTGAAAACTTAAACAGTAATTGAAATGTGAATTTCTGGGCCAAAATTGGATTGATTCTTATTCATCACCAAAATTTTAAACCCGACCAACCAAACTTAAAAACTAAGTGAGAACTGAGAAGGGAGGAATGGAAATTTCGAAAAGAAGGAAAAAAAATGATTGGTAGGAATAATTTCTTTTTTTTTTAGAGCATAATTTCTAATACCACTCAGAGGAGCATAGAATGCAATAAGAAAAATCGCACAGCTAAATTGCGCCCTTGGACCTTGGGCCTCACATACTATGTTGCCTCACATTGGGCCTTATGAGTTTGTCAGGCCCAAAATTTCTTTTTGCCCTTAACTGCATAATCCCCTTTCAGAAAATTTGGGGATTGCAGAGCTTAGGGCACAAGCTCAATCCAAATCAAACAACACGACAGACGGAATGAAATCCATTCCCATTGGAAACTTCTCTGTCACCGCGACTCCGGGCTCCGGCTAGCCCAACTAATTAAATTTTTACCTGGTTCTTATGTTAAGGACCCAAGCTATGTTTTTTTTTTTTTTTAATTACATCCATATTTAGATGCTTGTATCAAAAATATTTTAGTTATAATAAAAGTAATACTACCTCCGGTCTTTAATATAAGACCCTATTTGATTTTTATTTTGATCCTAAATATAAGACCCCAATCCACTTTGTCTCTCATATTTATACTTTTTTTCTAAAGTAGCCCTTCTAATAATGATAGTTCTAGTTAATACACTTGATTAGCAAGGATATTTTGGAAAAGACAACACCTATTTAGGACAAATAACTAACTCAACTTACTTCCTTAATCTCCTCAAATTAGTCAACTGGCTCTTATAATTAGGACATGAGGTATTATATTTTAATGACATATGTCCATATACGTGTGCCCATTTATATTTTGACAAAGCGTCAACCACATAGTTAGTTGGGTTGCAATCCAACAACTACGCAAAAATAGAGGCGAAGACCAATAAGTCAATGAAGAACCTTATGTGGAATTAAAAGCTAATGAAATATGGATCTTGTTTGAAATCGATAATCTGAGCATCAAAATATTTCTATCTGTTCAACGTTGCTTTTCTATCGCTTACTGAAAAGATGGACGCCATCGCTGTGAATGTTTTTCAGGGATTGACCTCTTTGGCTCTTGATGAGTTCAAGCTGCTGTGGAATGCTAAAGAAGATGCAGAAAAGATGAAGAACACTGTCCGCGCAATCAGATTTACCCTTTTGGATGCAGAGGCAAAGGCCAAAGACCATCAAGTCAGCTTTTGGCTGGAGAGATTGAAAGATGTACTCTATGATGCAGATGACTTGCTTGATGATTTATCCACTGAAGTTTTGACGAGGGAATTGATGACTCGAAACAAGGTGGCAAAGAAAGTAAGGATCTTCTTCTCCAAATCAAACCAATTTGTTTATGATCTTAAAATGGGTCGTAAAATGAGGGAAATCAGGGAACAACTGGATGAAATTGATGATGAGAAGAAAAAATTGAAATTGAATGATCAACCACTTAAGCCTTCATCTGATTATGAGGACAGAAAACAAACTTACTCTTTTGTGGCACAAGATGAAATTATTGGGAGAGATATGGAAAAAAACCTCTTTCTACGTTATCTATTGTACCCTGCTATCAACGGTAGAGTTTCAATTATTCCCCTGGTTGGATTTGGAGGGTTAGGCAAGACTGCACTTGCTCAGCTTGTGTACAATCACGAAAACGTTCAAAAACATTTTGAGTTTAAAAGATGGGTGTGTGTGTCTGATGAATTTAATGTAAGACAAATAGCTCAGAAGATTTTACGGAAAGAAAACACAAAAGACATGGAGCAAGTGCAGCAGGATCTTAGACAATCAATTCAGGGTAAAAGGTTTCTAATTGTGTTAGATGACGTGTGGAATGAAGATGTTGAGCTGTGGCTCAAGATGAAAAGCTTATTGATGGAGGGAGCCCACGGAAGCAAAATAATTGTAACTACACGCAGTGCGAAAGTGGCAGAGGTAATGGGCACAGATGGTCAAACAATTACCCTTCGAGGTCTGAGTGAAGATAGATCATGGAGATTGTTTTGTCGAATGGCTTATGGAAATGAAAAAGAATCGAATAATGTGGAGTTGGTAGCAACTGGAAGGGAGATTGTGAAAAAATGTGGAGGAGTTCCGCTTGCCATTAGAATTGCTGGAAGGCTTGTGTATGACAAAAACTCAGAGGGAACAGATTTGTCATACCTAAAGAATAGTGAGCTTTGGAACATGGATCAAGTGGAGGACAGAATCTTCGGGGTGCTTAAACTCAGCTATGATCATCTCTGTTCACCCATGAAAAACTGTGTGGCTTTTTGTTCATTGTTTCCAAAAGATTTTTTGTTCAAAAAGCAAACACTAATCCAAATGTGGATGGCTGAAGGATTCATCCGGTCACTGGATCAAATGAGGTGTGAGGAAGATGTTGGCCATGAATGCTTCATGAAACTACTTTCAAGGTCTTTCTTCCAAGATGTGACAAGAAACAAGCACGGTGATATAGTGACTTGCAAAATGCATGATCTTATACATGATTTAGCACGATTTGTGGCAAAGAATGAGTATCTTGTGGTCAATGAAGGAAAAGAACAGAGAACTAGAGGTACAACACGTCATTTGTCATATGAAGGGTCAAGAAAGAATTGGAAAGTTCCAACTTCCTCCCTCAAATCTGAAAAATTAAGAACAGTTCTCATACTTAAGAGAGGTTATTTTGGTTGTCTGATGGATGAATCTTATTTTGGTTTGGTTACATCAAGATTAAACTGTCTGCGTGTTTTGGTCTTACAAGGCTCAAATATTACACAAATACCAATAAGTATTGGAAAGTTGAAGCATCTAAGATTTCTTGATCTTTCACATAATCAGATAACCCAGCTTCCAAGGAATATTAACAGACTGCACAACTTGCAGACCTTAAACCTCTCCAGCAATAATATTCATGAATTTCCAAGAGACATCAGTAACTTGGTCAACTTGAGACACCTTCAATTTGACAATTGCATGCTGATATGGATGCCGCATGGGTTGGGGCAATTGACTTCTCTCCGAACCTTAACGGAATTTGTAGTAGGTGACAAGAGGATGCAATTAAGAAGGGATAGTGTAGGAGGGGTGTCTGAATTAGGTGAACTGAACAACTTGAGAGGTTCTTTACAAATCAGTGGCTTGAAACACCTTAGGCATAACCCTGAAGAAGCTGAGTCTGCAAAGTTGAAAGACAAGCAACATCTTCAACACTTGACGTTGGTCTGGTCCTCTGATGATGGTAAATGTATGGACAGTAAAACCCCCATAGTTGAAGATGAACTGATTTTACAAAGGCTTCGTCCTCATGATACTATCAAAAGCCTGGTTATAAAAGGATTTTGTGGGGAAAGGTTACCAGACTGGATAGGAAATCTCAAGTCACTGCAATACCTTGAGTTCCATGATTGTGAGTGTTTGCCATCACTTTCTGAAGTCCGTCGTAATATCGGATCATCAAAAAGATCGATGATAAACGGACGTCATTCGTTGGGGCAAGGCGAAGTTAGAGGTGATGTACGGGTATCCATTATATATAGCAGTGATAATCTTTTGATTTTACGTGATTAGGTACTCTCTGTGGCACTCTACGCTGAAAGGAAAAAAAATATAATGCTGCTTGAGGTGTCATGTGATGTATTATGGTGGAGAAACTGTTTTAAGAGTCAGGCTCGTAGCTTTATAATTTGTAATTACTAATATAGTATTCTCTGTTTGTTTGTAAATTGGGAGCCAAGTGGAGACTCCTCGGGTGTAAACAATGCTGGCTCCTAAGATGTAATAAAAGTTGGTAAGGAAATTACATTTTTACAGAATCAAATGTATAGTTTTTGTCTTGTGAATCTGCAATATTGCAACTTATTTGCTCATTTTTTTCAGTTGAGTTATGAAAATAGGTTTATATTTCTAAGAATCCAAATATTATTCAACATCTCCCAGAAAACTGTTCAGCCAGTGATAAAACATCATCTTGGTCTGAATACTTTTTAGGGTGTGTTTGGGTTACACCCCAAACCATGGTTTGGGGAATAATCTACCCAAACACCCCCTCCAAAAACCAAAACCATGGTTTTGGGTCAAAACCATGGTTTTGACTCTAAAACCATGGTTTTGGAAAAAGCAAAATTTTTTTGCTTTTGGAGAAAAAAGGGAGAGTGTGAGGACCTATATGATATATATCTTGTTATTTTTTTTATAAACATATTTTTTTATAAATATATTTAATCTTATATTTTATAAATATATATACACATTAATTATTTATTAATTATATTATCTTATGTATTATTAATTATGTTGGTAAAAAACATATTATTAACAATTTTATCCATTCAAATTAAAATATATCATAAAATCTATTTTTTCTGTAATTATCATATTAACTTATGTCTTTTTTTTAGTAATTTGTATATATAAAAAGTGCTTCTGATAACAACTATCCAAACACTCTCACTTCTCAGAATCACTTTTTTACAAAATCTATTCTTCACAGAATCTATTCTCCAGAATCACTTTTCCAAACCACGGTTTGGTTTCATCCAAACACACCCTTAGTCACTGTTACATTACGACTATGCGTACTTTCTATTATTGAGGAAAATGCAAAGGCAGGTGCCCTATGGGTCATTGTTACTTCACACCAAATGAAAAGATGTTAGTGCAAATTTCATGAATTTTTTAATGTTCTTTCTCTTTCTCTCTCTTTCTCTCTTATATATGTCAAACAAAATATTATGTAAAAAGTATTTATAAAAATATTTTGAATAATTAAATAAGAAAAATCACTATGAAGTCCCAAGAGAGAAATGTAATCACCAGCAAGTCTCACAACAAGTGAACAGCATGTAATGACAAGTTCGGTACAGAAAAAAAACAACAAATTCATGCTTATTATTAGGATTTTCTGATGATTCCATTTCTTCCTTGTGACTAATAGTGATTTTCTCAAATTAAATTGGGTCACCTGACATTTGATATACAACGATTGGGCTTTGTAGTATGGGCCCAAGAAGTTTGTTGGAAGGGTCAAACCAACCAAGAGTCGTATGCTGAAGATTGAGGCTTGTCCAGTCAAACTTTTTGTCATTCATCTTTCTGGTTTTACTGCAACTGATGTTGCGGTCTAGTGGCATGTCCGCTGCACATGTTTTCTGGTGACATGGTCACAAATATTTAAGGAAAAATAATTTTTTAAAAACTGTTGAATTTTAAAATGATAAATAAGCGATTTTAGTAGATTTTGACAAGACCATTATAAGAATAATAGTAGATTTTGACAAGACCATTATAAGAATAATCAACATAAATTATTTATCTTTTTAAAATTCAGCAAGCATTTTTTGTCATTTTCTTAATATTTAATTTAAGAGTAAATAAATTTAAAAAAAACCGTGTATTACGTAAAAATAGATATCTATATTAACCCCAAAAAAAAAAAAATTAAAACAAGCATAAGACAAAAAAAAATTAAATATCGAATTTCGGGAATATTAATAACCACTAAATTTCCAATCCAAGCAGCCTAACTGTGGAATTAGAGAGAAGGAAGCTGTGAAAATTTTGCATAGCAAAAAGTTATATATTATCGGATAAAGAGATGGATTTTTCTTTGTTCTTTCTAATTAATATTATAGCCTTCATGTGTGGGAGAGAGACTTTGAAAGTTTCATGTCCAATAAGAGGGACTTTTGAAACCTAAAATCAAAGCTTAAGCCTAATTCTCTCTACCTTATTATAGTTTCATGTAGTAATCTCTCTTAAGTACATCACGGCAAGTTTTCAGGCAAAATAACACTTCACAATGTCAAACACATACATATATTGTCAACCTCTAAAAGTAACAACACATGCAAAAATCTTTTCTTTTTAGAAACGCATCTTTGAATCATCAACTTGCTAACTTCCCCAACTGAATCTACCAAACACAAACCCTGCTTGTATTACCACCTCTAGTCTTTAATATAAGAGTTAGTAAGTAAATTAAAAAAATTAGTTAAATTAGTTATTTATAATAAATAAGTATTATTTTTTTTAAAATATTCTTACTAATCAAGTGTATTGGCTAGAACTATTATTATTACAAGAACTATCTTGAGAAAAAATAAATATATAAATATAAGAGACGAAGTAGATTGAGATTTTATATTTAGAACCAAAATAAAAATCAAACAAGCTTTTATATTAAGGATTAAAGGTAGTACTGTATATTCCCTTCCTAAAGTCATTCAACCTCTAATCATAAGTCATTTGGCTGACCTCACACACACAAACGTATCATACCATTATTCCTGGGGAAAATGTAGGGGGAACCAAGTTTTTGGTCCTTGAGGTTGCTGTTATTTTGGCTAGGTCCTTATAACTTTTTTTAACTAAAAAATCAATCTTTATAATAATTATGATCAACTTTGATCAAGATTCGTAAAAATAATGTCTTACAAATATGACATTGACAATAATATTTGGTAATAACATAAACTTTGATCAAGGTTGATTATAAGGTCGGTTTGTTAATTAAAAAAAGAACTACAATGATATTGACTCAAATTGATCGAAGCTTTTAACATATGTAGCTAATATCTTGTGGAACAGCCAAAGAATTTCTTTCTTTCTCCAAAAGGTAGAAAGTTGTAGGAAGATAAGTCTCTTAATGGATTTTATTTCATTCTTAAAAAAATCAGTCTCTCTTTTTGATCATGTGCTCTACAATTGAATTTGCATGAAATTATCGATATGGCATAAATGAGTTATTGAGATTAAAATTAAATTTAACAAGAGAAAATATTTAGATCAATGAAAGAGATTTTGATTAAAAGTTTCAAAACTAGGCTAAACTTAGTAACATTTGTTTTAAAAATATTTTATAAATTCTGGAGATAAAAATAAGTTTGTATAATTTCAGTAATACAGAAAATAATTTCTTGTAAATTTTAACTTTGCCCAAAAAAACTATTTATCTTAAATTTATTCTAGATTTTTATGTAAGAGATATCAACTATCCGATTTAGGCTTAGGCTATTAATTATAAACTATATAAGACAATCAAATATAATACTATTATGGATCCAATTTAAAGAAGAGATGGTTGTTTATTATTTTTGAATAACTGTCAGTGGATAACTACCAATTCCATATTTGGCAATTACCAACGTTGATCTAAACAGAACAATAAAACCATATCAACTTGCCTAACGCAACCTTTGTTACGTTGGAAATATTGCAATTGCAATTAAATTGACTTGTGAATTAAATATTTTATATACCCACTTTTTGACTCTGACCTGCCTTGTTTTTTATTCCAAAGTAATTGTTTCTTCCAAGAATCAAAATGCTATTTAAAATTGTTGGCAAAAAAAAATGCTATTAAAAATTAAAACCCAAACTTATGTTAATATCGATAGAGAAAGAAATAATTGTAATTAGCTAGTTATATCACATATACTTGATTAATTTAAAAAATTTTTGATGTATTTTTATTAATTTTATCAATTTAACATTTCTAGCTTAACAGAATAACATTGGGATTGGAATTTATGCAAATAATTAATGTCAATATAAGAAAATCGCATGTATTTTAATTAAAATCCTTCATAAGTCAAAACCAGTGAAAAAGCATTTTGGGAGAGCCCATGTAAACAAAAATAATAATAAATGAAAGTTATAAAGCCGAAAGAGAGAAAAGTATAGTTCAAACTTCAAACCCCATGAGTCCAAAGTACGTCTAAGATTTAATTTTGATATGTATATTTAGAAGAAAGTTTAAACTGACGGTAATAATATTATTATTGAGATGATATGAATATATTAATAGATAAAAGACAAATAAATAACGTTTCATTTATTTCTCCTACTATGTACATATGATAGAAAATCCTGACTAAGCATAGTATTCATCGAAGCTAAATTGTTTATTATTTATTTTGAATCACAGTTTTTCTTTTTTCTTTTTTCTTTAACAGAGATTCTCTTTTACGCAAAAATAATCTTCACTAATGTAATATAATTTGAACCAGATATTATTGTTATTTTTTCTTTGTGATTACAATAATTTTAGTTAAGATTGACAAAAAATGGTCTCTCATTCAAAATATAAAGTCATTTAAAATTTAATTTTGATATCTGTATCTGTATTGAGTGTTCGGAATAACACTATGTTCATTATATCTAAATTGTTTATTTATAATCTTTAATCACAATTATTCTTATTTTTTAATTCGTTATATCAATTATTTTTTTAAAAAAAGTGATCTCCACCATTTCAAATGTTATTCTCAGTCGGTTTTTTTTTGTAATACAATAATCTTGGTTAAGATTTACCCATTCCATTCAAACCAAAAATCCACTTAAATTTAAATTTTAAAAAAATAAACCAAAGACTTAATATTTTGGCGAACATTCACTATGGACCTGACTAAAACCGAAGCCGGCTACCAATGAATCTTTGATTCACTCCTTATTTGAATAAGATTTCAGCCCGCCTTCGTTTCATTTCCTTCTGGTCACCTTCCATTATCTCTTTCTGTGCATAGCCAATCTTCTATATAAATATATTGCTCTTCATTTTGACACAAATACAAATCTGTCTTCACCATCCTTAGAAACTCTTTCTGTACTCTGATCAGTTCATTGTTTTTCTCAGAAAGTGAAACATCCAAAACATGTCTCCTCAAAGGCCTATTCTCTCCCTTATCCTCATCATAATCTCATTAGGATTTTGCTTTGGCTCTGAACATGAACATTCCAGCCTCTTGGCAAGAAGGTATTCCAGAAGCAAAACAAGTAAGGCTTCAAGGTCCCAAGCATCAGTCAATGTCGATGACTATGGAGCCATGTCCCGTGATGGAAAAGAAGATACTGAGGTACCTACCTAGGATCAATATAGCAAAACAACTAAGTCATTTTCACATATATGAAACACTTTTTTTTCTTTTCTCATTTTCTCAATTTTCATTCTTCTTTAGGCCTTCAAGAAAGCTTGGAATGAGGCTTGTTCTAAAGGGGCTGTTCTTGTGGTTCCTGAGAACAAAGTCTATCATCTTAAGCCTATAAAGTTTTCAGGTCCATGTCAGCCAAATACTACCTTCATGGTAAGTACCTTACCATAGAATATTGCAGTTAGGTGATGTTTCTGTCAGTTGGTGTTTCTGGTTTAGTCCAAATCAGGTTATTTCAATACCCAGATTGTGAAAGTACTGATTTTTTTTTTTTTTGGTTACTGTTTCATTCAGGTATACGGAACCATCAAAGCTTGGCCTCACCTGTCTGCATATGAAGAAGATCCAACACACTGGATTCAATTTGAAGGCATCACAGGTTTAAGAGTTGATGGTGGTGGCATTGGCACTTTCAATGGAAATGGGAAGAAATGGTGGAAGAAATCTTGCAAAGTCAACAAAAGCCTTGTAAGTCATTTCATAGTTCCCTATCAAATCGAACCCCAAAGTTTGATTTTCTTCTTATAAAATTTGAATTCTGATATATTTCCCTTTTCCTTTTCCTCTCCTCTTAATTTTTCATTTCACAGCCGTGCACGGATGCACCAACTGTAAGTATATCTATCTTCTTCAATGCGTTTTTCCCCAGATGATACAGAGTACTCTGTTTTCCTTTCCAAGCCTGACGTAAATTTTCCCGGAAAATTTAACTTCCCAGGCTGTGACCTTTGACGAATGCACCAATCTGATCGTGAAAAACCTGAGGTTCAAGAATTCTCAGAAAATGCATATCAACATCCAGAACTGTTTGAATGTTATGCTTACAGGTCTCAAAGTGATAGCACCAGAAGACAGCCCCAACACTGATGGGATTCATGTGACAAGGACAAAGAATATTCTCATAAGCAACAGTTTCATTGGTACAGGTAAAAACTCAGAATGTCTCTTTCACCAGAACATAGAAGCAAATATTTTTATATAACATCAATTCTTTTTATTTTTTTGCAGGTGATGACTGCATTTCAATAGAAAGTGGATCTAGAAATGTCAAGGTTACAGATATAACCTGCGGACCAGGACATGGAATCAGGTTTCTGATATATTATAATATATATAAATATATGTATTTACACACACACACATAAGAATTAATTTAAGTGGCTAAATTGTTTGTAAATAATGTTATTGTGCAGTATTGGGAGTTTAGGAGATGATAAGTCAAAAGCAGAGGTGTCGAATGTGGTAGTGAACAGAGCAAAATTGAGAGGAACGACGAATGGGGTGAGAATAAAGACTTGGCAGGTAAGAACTGTTTGACTTTTTGAGGACTTTTTTAGGTACTCGGCAACATTTCACTCATTTCCCGAAAATTAATAAATAAATAGAAAAAGTCAACAAAAAAAATAGAAGTTAAGGAAAAATTGTGCTCAACCCACTTCATTTAATTCTTGGCTCTGCCTAATATAACAGATTCCTTCCATATTTCTATGGGAAGCTATCAAACTTTTTGCCTGACAACACATTTTTTTAGTGTCTCATAAATGGGTTTTCAAAATTTTTATATTTGTGTCATCATTAATATATAATTATATATTATACTGGAATTGTCATTAATTATTTTTCTCTTTGAAATATTTAAGAAACTTGGTGAAAAGTTGACCAAATGAGACAAGAACTGAAATTAGTGGGGCAATAGTGAACTACAAATTTCCAACATTTTAACTAATCGGCTTCTCTAAGTTTACTCAGAACGCACCAATACCAAACCTTCTTCAACACAAGTCAGCATTTCATTCAAGAAAAAAGGCCACATAAATGTTTAGTTCAACTTTCCATCATCTATGCCTCTCATTACTTATTAGCACCAGTTAGTTTAACTTCTTCAATTCTGCTCATTATATACTTATTTAAGCTAAAAAAAATTCATAATATGATATAGTTATACCAAAGTGGTTCTCCGATATATATTTTATATATCACTCCCTCAGCTCTTAAATATAAGAGTTAAGTGAAGGATTTCAATCCACTATATTTCTCAAATTTGTAATTATTGTTTCAACATGCCTCATGTTACAATACAATGATATATTTATTGGATTTGAGAACAGGGAGGCTCTGGATATGCAAGATTCATAGAGTTCATGAATATAGAAATGGAAAATGTAAGCAACCCCATCATCATTGATCAAAACTACTGCGATCAAGAAGAACCTTGCCATGAACAGGTAGACATTTCTTCATCTTCTTCTTCTTCCTCCTCCTCTTCTTCATATCTTTGTATGCTCCTTCTAATTCTATATTGTAAATGAGAACGGCAGGAATCAGCAGTAAAACTGAGCAACTTGTTGTACCAAAACATAAGCGGAACGAGTGCTTCAGAAGTTGCCATTAAATTTGATTGCAGCAAGACGGTTCCATGCAACCACGTTTACGTTGAAAATGTGAGATTAGAAGCTGAAGGAGGAGGACAGACCACTGCTTCTTGCGACAATGTTATATATGTCAACCAAGGAAATCTCTTCCCAAAGTGTTAATGGAAGATTCATCATATATAGTTCACCGGGTGAAAAACTCTTTCACTTCTAAAAACAAAAAAATTTAGTGCAGAAGGTCGTTGATTAAGCTAAAATGGAGAATTGGAGATTCGGCATTTATGAGCTTTGCGTATATAGAGATTGAAGATGGAGGAAATATGATCGTTAATATGGAGAAGACTAGCCGTTATTTATTCTGGTTTTTTACATAATCTTGTGAATTCATTATTTTGGTTGCTTAGTTGTTTATTTTTCAGGTGTAATAATTTTGATTTTGTTAGCTCTTTGTTTTCATTAGATTAAAGTGGGTTATGTGTATTTGTATGAAAGTCAGAATAAAACACAATGTTCGCGATTTGTGAATAATTTTTTTCCTTGTATTATATATATTTATTATATATATCTAATTAAGTATTTAGTGAGCTTGAGAAAAAATTTACATTGGGTAGAATTCTAATTAAAAGCCTTAGGATTTGATGTTCAAAGGAAAACATTATATATTGTGTTTATTATCACTAACAAAATTTAGAAGATAAATAATATATTTACACACTCGTTTAGATTTTCAGGATATTTTGGATCAATTATAGATATTTACATTTTTCGAAACACCCTTCTTTAAGACACATTTCAAAAGCTGCTTTTGAATCTCTTGTTGAAAGTTCAAACATTGCAAAATTTATCTAAGGAACGAAATGAATTTCAGGGGCTTTGCTAAATAAAACCAAAATTAAATCTTATGTAAATAATATTTTACAAGTATCCATTCAAAACAGGTGGATAAATTTAAGTAAAACTAGGTTTTGAAAATTAACAATAAAAACCAGCCATACACTATGTGATGCATAACAAATTAAATTTTTATATAAAAATATGTATTTTTACATTTAACATATAATTATGAAATGGTGAACTATACATGTGTTTATAAATATTACTGAGCATTCGTTATATTCATAAAAATGATAATATTGTTATTCAAAGATTACAAGTCATATTTTAATTATGCAACGAGTAATTATATCTAAATCAGTAACATTTGGGATCACCACGGTTTTTTTATTGCCCTTATCTTTAAGTTTCAATTTTATTTAATTTTATTAATTTTAATATAAATTTGAATTGTATGTGAATTTTATAAAATTTAATTATTATATTGTTTATGACGCTCTAAAAATTGATTTATTTATATATTATATATTTATAAAATATATATTTTAACATTAATGGTGAGATATTTTTTTAAATTATACATTATTTTATAGTTATTTTGATATTTTAAACGTATCCTAACGTTTGGTGTTTAAAAGTACCTTTGTCTCCCAAAATCTCTCCAAGAAATCTTAGGAAGTACTCACCAAATCAAGGTTAATATTACAAGTTTTAAAATTTAAAATTGAAAAAAATTTCTTTTTTTTAAAAAAAAACATTATCCACGTCAACAAAACAAATGATTACTTTTTGGATTTGAGACTTGGGAGGGGCAACCAGCCAATACCAACGACGAAGATTATTAGGTCAAAACTTTTGTCAACTATTCCCCCAATTTTGCTAACAACACGTCCCCCGTTCATGATTGTTATCATTTATAAATATTTCAATTAAATATCATCAAAGATGCTGATTAAGAAGATGCTTTTTATAAGATCCAAATAATTGAATTGTGTGATTTAAAAAATTTGTTAATATTAGTTAGAATTAATAAATATGTAAGAAATACACCTCTCTTTTTCAAATATATTCTAATTTGAAGATATCTCTCAATCAATGATATATCATTTTACAACCAACAAAGCTACTCGATAGTAAAAAAACAAAAAACTAACAAATCTGTTATAATGGCTGATCTCTATTTCTCCTAACTTCGTTTTAGAGTTTTGGCCAAAAAAAAAAAACACTTCGTTTTAGATTGATATATTTCAATGAATGAATTTCGGTAATTTTTTGAGAAAAAATTTAGTTGTCAGTAATAATAATATATAATTGGTGCAGCTGATTTCACTTAATAAAATAAATGTTTTCTTATTATTATTAATATCTACTTCAAATATATTTTAAATATAAAATTATAATATTTTTTTATGACTCTATATATATATAAACGAACTTTCCAGTGATATAAATCCCTTATTTCTCTTTGTTAGATAATTTTGGGGATATGATATAGAAAAAGTGAGACCCATCTTTATAAAAACCAAATAATTGTTGATTTAGATTTTTAGGCAAGATGCACTTTAGGTATATATAGTATAAAGAGAGCTAAAGATAAGTAGGTGATTCCTAATTTTGCAGAATTCATGTTTGTTAAAACCAAAGTCCCACATTATTATCTTTGTTTATAGATATACATATATATCCAAATGCTTATTGTTTCAGTTTCGATCACTTACTACTCCCAATATCAATTGAAATTTGAAGAGTATTCAATAAAAACGTTAGTTATTTTGAAAGTGATATATATATATATATATATATATATATAAAAGCAAACATATTGGTTAGAATTGGGTTGGTTCTTAATTAGCACCAAATTTAAAACCAAACCAACCTAACTTAAGAACTAATGAGAAGGGCAGGTGTGAAAATTTTGGAGAAAAAAGTAATGTAATAGATTAGATAAAGTTGTAGTAATTTTAAACACGACCAATAATCAATGGTGTTTTTTCTTAATTTTTTTAATTAAGGCCCTCATGTTTAATTTCTTCAAATAAATCTCTCTAGCTACCACATCACGTCAATTTTTAATTAGGTGTAGATTAGCGTGGGTAGACTATGGTATGAAAGCTCAACCCAGTTTAATAGGTTAAACTATTAAATCAATTAACTAGTTCTCTTAGCATTCCAATTAAGAGTTTCAGACTAATTCCCCAAGTTGGATTTTTTATATTTTTGGTCCATTATTGAATTTAAAATGTTATTGTTTTGAGATAGCAGTCGTTATGTTTGTGCATTATGTTTGGACTATGTGTGGTATACAAATGAATATTCTATTTATTTGTGAATTAATATTTTTTATTTAAATATTACATTTTTAATCCTATGTATAAATATTTTTCTATATTATAATTAAAATGACTATTTGGTTCCTCTTTGAACTATTGAGCATTAAACTATTGTTTCAACCAGTTCATTAATCAGCTTAGTATCATTATCTACGAGATCTTATAATTAGAACTAGAAGTAGTAAGCAAAAAAAAGAATATAAATTAATAACTAGCTAATTTGACGAATTAAATGATGTATTTGTCACATGATGCCAGCAATAGATAATACTGATGTCATATGGTTTTCTTTTAACATGATTCACAAAAAATTTTACACAAATGTGTGAGGCAATTTAAATTGAACTAGAAGCAGCAAATTAAGGCCCTTAAAATATTGAGTTAGTAGCTTATATTGTTTATAGTTTATGAATTGTATGCATCTTCCTATATATATACATATATTCCTCTGGTCCTTAATATAAGACCCATCTAACTAATTTGATTAGATTAAGGAAGTTAGGTAAGTTGGTTAATTATAAGAAATGTAACACGTTTTTCCTAAAATACCATAATCATCTTTCTAAATACCCCCTCTTCCACTTCTACTTGATTATGGTTGAGAGAGTATCTATAGAGGTAATTTAGAGAAAATTGATAAATATGAGAAATGGGTCTTATATTTAGGATCAAAATCAACTCAACAATTAGGTCCTATATTAAGGACCGGAGGAGTATATATATATATATCATATACGAAAATTCTACATTATTAAGAGGTTGTTTTGATAATATATCTGTTTAAATTTTAAGCAACTTTAAACACTTAAAATCATAGATCCGAGTCTCACTCGTTTAAAACTTAAAATGGAATCTTAATTTTTGTAAATACAGAGTCTTTATAATATAGGTGAGATCGAGTGTGACGTATTAGAAAAACCGCATAGAAACTTGCTCTTACAAAAATCTTATTTTAAACTTTGAGCCATTCATGTGGTGGGATTTCAAAGTTGGTTGCGCAGATGTCTTTGTGTGATTAGAATAATTTTTAAAATCCATCTTTCCCATACCTAACACCAATGGTCTTCTACAGGCTATCATCCTCTCACAAAAATGTAATCTGTACACACACACACACACACACACACACATATTTTTACATAATTTTGTTTTTCTATTGGGAAAATCATTATTCTTAAGCTACCTATAATATCCTTCAGTTTTTAATTTGGTATTTATATGTTTTTTATGCTTATTAAATCTTTTAATTTTATCCTGGTAGCCCTTGTAATTTTGCTCGCTTAACATTATTACCTCCTACACAAAAATTAATTATACTAATAGAATCAATAGTTTAATAAATAGAGGAAAACTTATAGGTACCATTGTAACAAATTAAAAATTAAAGAATTTTCACCGAAAAAAATTAAAAATTAAAGAAAATTATAAGTACCTTAAGAATGATTTTTCCTTTTTTATTCCCTCGGCTGTTTTTAACATCACACACATATTTATCCATGTGTGAAATATTAACAAGTAATTCTTGTAAAACTATATTTTTATTGCCTCAGTTAACTAAAACATAGCAACTAACTTCACCAAGGACAATTAGATCATTTCACAAAACTTTAATTCTAAACTAGTGCCTAACAAATTTCATAGGAATTAACTGAATTATTTCGAGAAACCATTTTGATATTCTTATGTTTCATTAGTCCTCCTCTTGTTTATCTTTCACTCTAATTGTAACTTATCCATTCCACTCCCCAATGCCCATATGCATCACAGGGAATAATTAAATACATACATATACACAAAGATATATATATATATATATATATATATATAGACACACACATATATATACACACATGCAAAAAGTGGATTATAGATAGGATCGCAAGTTCGTGAATCTTCTGGTACATCTTGTTGAGGACGATGTTGTATAGGTTTTGGTTGTTCATGTTCAAAACGTAAGTGAAAAGATTGGTAAAATCCCTAACTCATTTTTTGCCAAACACACGGCTTTATCACTTGGCCAAAGCCATTGAACCGTCCTAAATATAAGGAACTCTACTTCTTAATATAAGAAATAATATAAGAGATAAATAATCAATTTGTAGATATGAAAAAAATTAGTTAAGTTAGTTGTTTGTAATAAATTCATATTGTATTTTTTTAAATTATTTCTGGTAATCATATGCATTAAAATTACCTCTTAATAGAAACTCCTTAATAAGTATGATCACCACAGAATTACTTTGGAGACAAAATAGGTAAATATTAAAAAATAAAGTAAATTGAAGTTTTATATTTAGTATTAAATTAAATCTTCAACTTGCAAGAATTTAGCATAACAACATATGGATGACATCACCCCACGTCACATCACATGCATTTCTCTTTCTTCTTCAAATTCCATAAAGCAACACAGAGACGAGAAGACCTCTACAACGGAATTCCACAACCAGAGGAACTTAAAACATGTACGTATGCGTAACGTATAGAGATATATGTGTGTGTTAGTTGATTTTAGAACATGTGTCAAGGCGGTGATTATTGCGCGTTCTTTATACTTTACATTCAACTATTACACCCACATGTCCCATCTGCCGAAGTTTAAGCCTTTGACAAACCAAAATCATGGTTAAAAAAGAAAAGAAGAAGACTAACCAAAACCAAATGCCCCAACATAAACGGAGTAATTTTTTGGGGAAGGAAATTATTTTTGAATTTTTGTGCTATTTATTACTGATTATTTTCTTATAGAATGTAATAATTTCATTTTTAACGAGACTGTTAGTAACAGATTTCGTTTAGGTATTATTGGTCAAAACAATTTATGAAAAATTAATTAATTCGCAAGTTTTTATAGTTTTACATAATTTTTCATCAGGTGTCTGTGGTTTTTTTTTCCCTAATCATGTCTCTGTAATTGTTTTTCTTTTTATTAAATCATTATAGTTTCACCTTATATTTTTAAATTAGGTTTCTATAATTTCTTTTCTTTTAATCAACCACTGACACAATAGAAACCTGATTTTAATCGGGTGAAGCTATGAGAATCTGATAAAAAAAACTTACATTGACCTAATTAAAATTAAACGAAAGTATAATGACGTTAATAAAAAAAACCCGGATTAAAAATCAGGCCAATTACACGCTAATTTTCTTTTTTCCAAAAATTGACTTGTGGTGTGGGAATGTTATGAATTTAAATCAACTTAATTAATTATGACGTTGAAGAAGTCAAGCGACGAAAAGAGAGGCTGGAAAACAAGAGGTGGTTTGTTTTATTGTAACTGTCACTCAATAACTGCCAATTTCTCCTTCAAACTTCCCACAATTCCATGCAAAATTTCATCATTCTAGAAAATTCCTTTTGGCTTATTTTCTTCAATTTACAGCCAAATTGAATTGCATACTCATCTAATTATGTATTTTAAGAAAGTGTGTAAGCCTGACATTTACTTTTCGTCACAAGCATTATTATTATTTTTTCTATTTCAGTGACTCTAATATATATATATATATATTTATATATATGAGAAGTAAACAAACTCAATTTCTTTTGGGGCCAAAGGAAACAAACTCAAACTTGGACTGAGAACGTAAAAAGTTTCTAAGTGTAGATTTTTCATAAGAACAAGTTTGGTTGTGATTTGATTTGCATGGTGGTACATATTCATATTACAATACGAAATCTGGTCTTTTACTCAACCCTTACATCCATGAACCAAAAAAAGTTCATCCTCCCACTTACTGTTTAGTTGGTAAAAATTCACTATGCACTCCACAAAACACTGTCCTCTCTATTTCCCAAAGTCAGACTAAAATAAAATTGAAGTTTGACTAAATTTTAGATTTTCTAAAATCAAAATTTTCCTCATGTTTAAAGAAAATGTCTCTTTTCACACAAAGTACTTCTTCCGGTCAGTAGATCTTATATATAAGTAGTAGCTAATAAAATCATGTAGATCAAAATATTGATTAAAATTAGTTAAAAATAATGAATGTGTCATATAAGTAATTTATTTTTCAACTATACCTTTGTTTACAAAAAGAATAAAGAGAGAATGAGTGATAATTAATATAAAAACATATATTTAATAAAAAATAAAAATGTGAAGGGTAGTTTAAAATTTCAAGTAAAACAATATTGCTTATGCATAGGACCAAAGAGAGTATCAAATTTATATGGTGTTTGTTTATATGTCTCTTTTGCAGGCCAATGCTACCTATATGGCGCCTTCCTACTCTTAACTCATACTTAAACCCAACAACTTTCTCTTTGCATAATCTTTTTTTAATTTTAATTTTTTTCTCATTCTTTGGAATGGATTTTCAACATATCCAAATTAAAATCAATTCGGTCACAGTCCCATTCAATATATTCTCCAAGTACCCATGTGATGATGGGTCTAAAATCCAAGCCAATCCAATCCAATCTCTCTCTATCTCTAGAAAACAAGCCATAACTTTTGCCTATAAATACATAGCCCTCCATTAGGACACTTGCTCACAAATCTCTTAAAGCTTTCTCATCATCATCAAACACTTTTTGTACTTTCATTCATTTTATTCCATTCCTTAATTTTCTCACAAAAGTGAAACATCAACATGTCTCCAAAAATCACTCTTCTCTCCCTCCTCCTCCTCGTTACTCTCTCATTACCCATTTCTTTTGGCTCTCACATTCACAACTCTCACAAATCTCCAAAACATGAAAACTTTGGCCTCATGAGAAGATCTTACAGAACCAGTAAGGCTCCTTCAAACTCTGATCAAGCAACCATAAGCGTTGATGACTATGGAGCCAAAGCCAGCGGAAACGATGACTCTGAGGTATATACGACTATAATTCTATGAGACTCATTATATATATATATATATATATATATATCTTTTTCTATTCTCAATTTCGTAATACTTTTCATTCTTGTTTAGGCCTTCCTGAAGGCTTGGAAGGAGGCATGTTCTTCTGGGTCTACTCTTGTTGTCCCTGAGGACAAGGTCTACCATCTTAAGCCTGTGAAATTTTCAGGTCCATGCCAGCCAAATACTGCTTTAATGGTGAGTACTTACCTTAAAGTTCCAGAGTTTTGAATCATTCGTTTTTCTGTGAATCTCATTCTTTGTGAATGTTCTGGTTTTTTCAGTTGTATGGAACAATCATGGCGTGGTCTGATATGTCCGCCTATGAAGACGATCGAAATTTTTGGATTCAGTTCGTAGGAATCAAAAACTTCAAAGTTGATGGTGCAGGTAAAGGCATTATTGATGGCAATGGCAAGATATGGTGGCAGCATTCCTGCAAAATTAACCCAGACCAAGTAAGTCACTGTGAAGATTTTCTTTTTCGGATCAAACTTTAAACAATTTTTATCCAATTCTGACCTTTGTTTCTTTCCTCGTCTTCCATTTACTTTCCAGCCATGCAAGGACGCACCAACTGTAAGTATATCTTCTTCAAAACAATATCAGTTTTGCAGAGTGTATTTTACTAGAAAATGCAGAGTACTCTGTTTTTCTGACAATTTTTTTCTGGAAAATTTTGATTTCCCCAGGCTGTAACTTTCAGCCAATGCACCAACTTGATCGTGCAAAACCTCAAGTTCCAGAATCCGCAGCAAATGCATATGAATTTCGATCAGAGCTCGAATGTTAGAGCTTCAAGTCTGATAGTGCAAGCCCCAGGAAACAGCCCCAATACTGATGGGATTCATGTGACAGCAACACAGAACATGTTCATCAGCAACAGTATCATAGGCACCGGTAAAAGCCCAGAATATATTATTCATTGAAAAAAAAAATTTAACCCGAAAACATATATATTTAAAAAAAAAAATTCATTATTAACTGATGTTTCTATTTTTTGAAGGTGATGACTGCATTTCAATAGTAAGTGGGTCTAGAAATGTTAGAGCTACAGATATCACCTGTGGACCAGGACATGGAATCAGGTTTTTGATAAAACCTAAAACAACTCTCTGAATACATATACATATATTAATATGTGTGTATTAATGGGTTGTTGTATTGTTTGTAAATAATAATGTTGTTGTTGTTTCAGTATTGGGAGTTTAGGAGCAGATGATTCAGAAGCAGAAGTGTCAAATGTGGAAGTGAACAGAGCAACATTGATAGGAACAATGAATGGGGTGAGAATTAAGACTTGGCAGGTAATGGTTGGTCTTCGGACGTTGGCTTTCATGGCTTTTAGGCACTCTACTGCAACATTTGACGCTTTCTTAATTTTTTTTGGAGAAAGTCAAACTACTATTAGAAATTTTTGAAGAGAGGAAGTGTACTTAACCCACTTCAATTAAATTTTTGGCTTTGTTTGAGGTCAAATGCTCCTACCGTATTTCCACAAGACTTGATGGAGCAATAGACCAAATTTAAGGGGAAAAATTGAACAAAATGTTTGATTGGGCAAAATTTGTTTTTGTATTTTAATGTTTTTTCAAACACTAACAAATTTATTTGCCGAATATTCTTGAATTAAATGTATGAATCAATAGATTGTGTACATATTTTCTTAAAAGAAATTGGCGGAGAAGTTGACTAATGGATCTTGTAGGTTATGTGGTTCATACAAACTATTTTATTTGAGTCCTAAGTATAAAAACTAGGTGACTAATTTATATATACCACAAAAACTAGTTAAGTCATTTATTCAAAATAAATGTATATAAATTCTTTCAAAATACTCTCTTTAATTATTATCCTTATCACTGACACCCTTTAATATATGCAATTAATAGAAATAATCCGAGAAAAAAATTATAACTTTACAAGACAAAGTAAATTAAAATATTATATTTAGAATTAAAACAAACATTTGAACTATTTTCTATATTTAGCATAAGAGAGAATATATATTTATGTGCGTGACAAAAGTTTGATGAAATGAATTAGTTATTAGTTATGTGGCTTGTTACAACTGATCCAAATGCACCATGGTGACCTACAGAACTTTAACTAACCAACTTTCCCATAATAAGTGTGCACACAACAGAATCCACCAATCCCCAACCTTCTCACTCACAAGTCAACACCAACATTTTATCAAACAAAATTAAATGCACACAAATGCAAAAATTATGTTCTTGTTCAACTCTCCTCCACCTATTCCTCTTACCTGCTAAACACACTAGGTAATTAACATAAGTTCATGTAACATGCATTTCCGTTTGTCTCATACCTAAAGCAGTTTCTTCCATTAAAGAACTAATAATTAATTTTTCTAGCCCAATTAGTTAAGTTCTTGACACAAATATGACTTATATATTTTGATCCCTAATATAATATATTATTAATTAAAACAGGGAGGTTCTGGGTATGCAAGAGACATCAAGTTTATGAACATTCAAATGAGAAATGTGAGCAACCCCATCATCATTGACCAAAACTACTGTGATAAAGGAAAACCATGCCAACAACAGGTAATTAATATTCCTCCTAAACTCTTTCTCTTATATATATATATATATATATATATATATATTCTCTAACTTTGTTGTTTTGAAATATGAAACAAATTGAACAGCAGGGATCAGCTGTACAACTAAGCGATGTGGTGTATCAGAACATAAGAGGAACAAGTGCATCAGAAGTGGCCATTAAATTTGACTGCAGCCAAACAAAGCCTTGCACGGACATATACGTTGAAGATGTGTACTTGAAAACACAAGGACATGGTGGGGCTGTGGCTTCTTGTGACAACGTTAGATTTGTCAACCGAGGAAACCTCGTCCCTCAGTGTTCTTGAACAATAATATATGATCTACTTTCATCAGATCAAACCAATATATTCACAAGTTATTGGGGTTCTGTGAATATCAATCTGTTCTAAGAAATAAGTTATAGATCAGAGAGCAGGAAAAGGAAAGTATAAGTTAGGCTTGTTTGGATGTTTTATTTAGGCCTCAAGAAGTGTAGTGCTTGACATGTCATTATTGGTGCATTTTCCATGTAAAAGTTGGAAAAGCTAGCCATTGATGATTCTATATATATAGAGTTTGAATATATATTTACAGTTTGATTACTGAAGCTGTCCACACTTTGATTTGCTTCTTCTTCTTCTTTTTAATCATTTAATTTCTAGCGTTAGTTTAGCATTGATTTGAGGGAAAACAATTCGGGCAACAAATGATGACCATGATGACAAAGACGATGTTGTCAAAAAGTTCAGTTTAATTAATCTTACTGACTTATAGCCTTTTTTTCTTTTTAAGAATTATATATTAATTTATTATTTATATTTTTCAAAAAAGAAGAAGTCATATATAAACAGACAAAACTTTCGGAGTCAAGTGGGGCTATTCGCTTCTTATTTTTCCCTCAGCAAGACATTTTATGTCAAGGAAAGAGACGATAGCTGACTTTCTATTCCTTTTTCAAGTCGAAGTTTATTAAGTGATTTTTTAAGTAAAATTAGAAATCACTACACACCCTTTATGTCATTTTTTCGCTTTTACTTCCGAAATATTTTAAATTTTTTTTTTTTTTGGATTAATTTTGAAGCTGCTGAATCTCTTGGATTTTTTTTTAAAAAAAAAAACTGTAGGCCGACTCTAAATTATTATTTCTCTAATTTTTAATGTAAAACTTAACTAACTAGTTTGAATATATTAAGAATGTTAATTAAATTAATGAATATGATATATTTTTTATTTTTTTAAAAATACCCCAATCATCTTTCTTGATTTCCTTCTTCTTTCTTCTACTTGATTAAGAAATATCAATAGGGTTAATTTTTAAAAAATTGACAAATATATAAAATAGGTATTGCACATGAAAACAATATCAACTCTTAAATTTAAGGACAAGAGGATTATTATTATTATTATTATTATTATTATTATTATTATTATTGAATTAGATGGCGTCAAGCAAGTAAGAGAAAATAACTTGTAAAATTAAGTCAAAACAACGAGGGTCAGGCGTTGGTATTGTCATCACATGAGAGTGCTTTTCCCGCGAAACAACCATAACGACCCGGCTGCCATTGGTTTCAAACCTTTCCCACATCATCTTCAACTGTCCCAACCTTCCAAAACACTCTCACTTTCGTCATCATTTACAAAATTTTCACTATGTATAAATAATTTTTAATTAATCATCTAATATTTACAGTTTAACTTTTGAGTTTTATTACAACTAATTTTTTTCACAAAAAAAATTACAACTGAATTGTATATTGATTGCGCAAGGATTTTTTTTTATTTTGTAAACTCTGGTTCCTTTTGCGTCATTTTTCCTATTGTCCTTGCGGATCATTTCTCCTATATTGAAATTAACAATTTCCTATTATACAATTGGTGATGAATAAAAAATAATTAATAACGTGCTATATGGGCAGCTTTATATTGGGCCTATTGAAACGAACAAAAATCAAGCTTATGACCCAGCCCACGAGCCCACGACCGTATCTCTTTTGTAGTTGGGTCATTAAATTTTTCCCTTGGCAACAACGCATTACAGGGGGAAAAAAAATACAATTAAAAAATAATTAATCATCGTAAAATTTAATTTTATAGCGTTAAATTATTCACCGCTGTATGTGTGTATGTGTGTGGGTATTTATATTTTAATCATCATATTTTTAATCAATGTTGTATTAAATGTTGCCTATACTTTGGCCCAAAAAAATGTTGCCTATATTGAGCTTGTGATGAGAAATTGGGAATAGTTACTGTTCCTAATTTTGTAACTTTGTTGCCCATAATATTTTTATTTTTTGGATAAAAAAATTAGCTGCTATATTTAAGCTCATTCATCATAATAATATATGTTAAAAAAGAAATTAAATTTTAAAAAAGTCATTTATGGAAGAATTACCAATATTTAATGCCTCATAGAGTGTCAAACAAGACTGCCTTTAATAAGAAAATACATATACTTATGAAAAAAGAAATAAAAACTTATTTTTCAATATCACTGAGCAGTATTAACCCACAATCAATCAAATTTGACGTATTCTCCTTTTCATGCAGTTGAAGAATTCAGGTTATAATTTCATAATTTATAAATAATGTAATTTTTAGTATGTATATTGCGTAGGATTGCCCAAGACAAATTTACTTGGATTTGAATATTCATCATAGAGCCGAAGCACAAGTTTATATGAAAATGTATTAAAGGGATGATTGAAAAATATATCACATCAAAATTGATATATTATTTTTTTTTTTTTACTTTTGGCATAGTATATGCGAAGACTACCTATATTATCTGAAAAATCAATATAAAAAAGTAGAATTAAATAAATCACTTGGAAAAGTATTAATGAGACCAATTAAAAAAAAACAAAAAGGGGAAAAGACCTCATGCTAAGTTATAGTACCATATTCCAGTCCCAAAAAAAAAAAGTTGTAATACCGTGTAAAAAGCGCAGACCCCCTTCTTCATTATAATTATGATAATGAAGTGATAAATAGTAAAATGTGAGGCTCATCAATTATATTTTCTTAATTCGTAAAACCACCTCTAGTATTTAATATAAGAACTGGTCGATTAATTTGAATAAATTAAACAAGTTTGTTAAGTTAATTATTTATAATAAAAGGTTAATATAATCTTTAGTTCCTCAAATTTGTCCTCATTTTGGTATTAGTCCTCAAGTTTTAAACCATATGTTTTGGTCCCTCAAGGAGCAAAATCATCTAAGTTTTTATTGGATTATAGATACTAATGTTTTAAGTGAAAAGAAATTTGAAGGACCAAAATCTATAGTTTAAAACTTGAAAAACCAAAACCAAAATTAGGGTAAATTTGAAGAACCAAAGTTTGTATTAACCCTATAATAAATAAGTGTTATCTTCTTTAAAATACTATTGCTAATCATATATAATAACTAAAACTATTATTTGATAAAACATTTTAACATGTGTAACTACTTCGATGACTACTTTGAAAAAATAAATAAATATAAGAGATCAAGTAAATTATGATCTTATATTTATAACCAAATTAAATATTAAACTAATTCTTATATTAAGGATATAGAGCAGTATTATTTTATTACATAACTTGAAAAAAAGACCAGATAAGCGATGCCACGCTCCAATACTTACCAAGAATCTCCCTTGATTACCACTTTCGAGAAGTACAAATTTTATTGGGAAAATTTCACTGTAGGACTGCAGAAGACAATTAATCTCAAAGAGCTCCCAAAACTTTCTGAAATCTCACTGCAGGACCAAGGGGCCAATCTGATATTAATTCTACAAATGAAATGACGCCACTGCCCCTAGTAGGAGGGAACAAGTGCGGGAGAGTGCATTTGCAATGAGAACTAGCCAATTTGCAGAATAAATACATATGTTCACACGTGGAATCAGTCCGTTCACATGTGGACTGGTTCATTTGATGCATGCGTTCGTGAGGAAACAAGTGTGGGAGATGCATTTGCAAGGGGAACTAGCCAATTTGCAGATGAAATACATATATTCACAAGTGAAATCAGTCTGTTCACATGTGGACTGGTTCACCTGATGTATGCGTCCGTGAAGGAACAAGTGCGGAAGAGCGCATTTGCAAGGGGAATTAGCCAATTTGCAGAATAAATACATATATTCACATGTGGAATCAGTCCGTTCACATGTGGACTGGTTCACCTGATGCATGCGTCCGTGAGGGAAAAAGTGCGGGAAAGTGCATTTGCAAGGGGAACTAGTCAATTTGCAGATGAAATACATATATTCACACGTGAAATCAGTCCGTTCACATGTGAACTGGTTCACCTGATGCTAAGGGTAGTGGCGTCATTTCGTTTGTGGAATTAATATCAGATTGGCCCCTTGGTCCTGCAGTGAGATTTCAGAAAGTTTTGGGGGCTTTTTGAGATTAATTGTCTTCTGCGGTCCTACAGTGAAATTTGCCCAATTTTATTTTTCAAACCTTGTCCCAAACTAAAGTTTCACTTTTCAGTAATTTACCCTCATAACTAATCATGCATGGTTTTCAGAGAAATAAAATAAAATAATAAAAAAAGGTATAAATAATAATAAATAAGAGAGAAGATGGAGAAGATCTTTTTGTGTCGTGACAGCCAAGCCAAGCTCTTTTTGGAAAGCAGACAAAAGGGAGTGTTTGGGGATAGATAAGTTGTGGAGTTTCTTAAGAGATATCTCACTTATACAAGCGCCTATCTTTTCTCCTTTCTCTCTCACTTTTTCTTTCTGTATTTACCTTCGTACTTTCTTCACAACGTCTTCTCCCATGGAAGAAATTACAGGTCAAGAAATTAATGAATCTGCATCAAAAGACTCGCAGAAGAAACCAAGCTTCAAACGTATATGCGTCTTCTGTGGCAGCAGATCTGGATCCAAGCCTGCGTTTAGTGATGCAGCTCTTGTGCTTGCTAAATTGCTTGTGAGACAATAATATATCTTCTCCAAACAAACACCTTCCCATTCACTGATCACACACGCACACACACCATAAAAACGACAATGGCTTCTTCTATATGTATAGCTTCCGCATGCTGTATGTGCACGTTTATTTGATTAGTTGTTTGGAGTTTGATCGACAGGTTGAAAGAAAGATTGATTTGGTCTATGGTGGAGGAAGCTTAGGACTAATGGGTTTGATCTCTAAGACCGTGTTCGATGGCGGCTGTCATGTTCTTGGGTGTGTGTGAATTCTTAAAATCTTGTCAGATACATATATGTAGGTACAATGGGCTTAACTTCTGGATGAACTTATAGTAAAGTTATTATCTTTTTCATGTGTTAGAGTGATTCCTGAAGCAGTGTTTCCCCGTGAGGTACTGAATTAATATCATTATGATCAATGTTTCTCTTAATCTGAATTCTCATATCCTCATGAAAGGCTTGTTCGTACTGATCAAGTCTCAATACAATGCTGTTAGATATCTGGGGAAACTTTCGGAGAAGAGAAAATTGTTGCAGATATGCATGAGAGGAAATCAGAAATGGCTAAACATGCTGATGCATTCATAGCACTTACTGGTATATATTTCACGTTCCCACATGCACTTCAGCTCCATAAAACCGACACCACTCTTCTACTTTTAAACATTCTTGCATACTCTCTCTCGTTTCACTGCAAGAGCAAGATAACTAGGGATTAACAAAATCAGTAAGTTTGCCATTTGTAAAAATTAAAAAAAAATGTATTGGTTTCTTTTAAAGTACTCTTTTTAATTGTTTGCATTAAAAATTACCACCTTGATGGTAAATCCCTCAATATGGGGAGAATTTAGGGAAAAAATTACACCGAGAGACAAAGCAAATTAATATCCTATGTTTTGAATCAAAACAAATCTCTCTCGCAATTAACTCTTATATTTAAGACTCGAAAGAATATATATATACACAGACACACTCACACATATATAATACTACTTTCGGCCCTAAACATAAGAGCTAGTTGACTAATTTGAATAGATTAAGGAAATAAGTTAAGTAGTTATTTGTAATAATAGACGTTATCTTTCTTAAAATATTCTTACTAATCAAGTTTATTGACTAGAATTACCATTATTAGAAGGACTATCTTGAGAAAAAATGGATAAATATGAAAGATAAAATAGATTGGGGTATTATATTTAGGACCAAAATAAAAGTCAAACAAGGTCTTATATTAAGGATTGGAGGTAGTAAATCTTTATGAATATGAATAATAGATATATTCAAACATCTTACATATAGTAGCAAATGTGCAGGAGGTTATGGAACCATGGAAGAGCTGCTGGAGGTGATAGCCTGGTCTGAGTTAGGAATACATGATAAACCAGTAAGATTAATTAATGTCGTTTTTTCCCTTGTTTTGTATAAATATATATATATATATATATATATGGCATGAATCACATTTAGATATGAATGTGCAGGTTGGATTGTTGAATGTGGATGGGTATTTCAACAGCTTGCTGAGTTTTTTTGATAAAGGAGTAGATGAAGGTTTTATAGAGAGCTCTGCAAGGAATCTTGTGGTCGTAGCAGACACACCAGCTGAACTCCTACACAAAATGGAGGTACACAACACAAGACTTAAATTTTTTTTTTTGTTTAATAAAATTTAAATGCACACACACATACAAATATGTCAACATCAGGGTCAAACTTAAGATCTCATCCAAGTATGATAGGTAAAGGCAATTAATAGACAATGCTGCTTGTTAAGACTTTTGTATTATATGCAAGTTTTCCTACTTCAAAAAGTAATGTCAAAATTTAAACATATTTGTCTAGCATGTAGAGGATAAAATTGTTATTTTAGTTAGACTGAGTGTGAATTTGAAGAAATAATGATAGTGGTCATTTTATTTCATATCCTTGTAATCTCAAGGAGATTCATTAGGCTATAAATTTAAACAATATAAGTAATAATTTCACACGCAGCAACGTAACGTCCATGTATTGATAATACATTTCTATGATTATTTTTTAAAAAAAAAATCAATTTCTAGATACTTTAGTAATCATTAATATAAATTTGTGATCCTTACCTTAACGGCTATTTTTTGCTTAGTAAGATCAGTTAATAAATAAAACAAGCATATATACATATATCGTACTGAAACCCCACAAGGATGATAAAACTTAACAATAAATTATCATAATTAATTGTTTGAATAACTAGTGAGCTTATAAAGATGCACAAGAAGAATGTGTGAGCATAATCAAAGACAAAACATGCGAACTCTCATGATGTCCACGGAATATATTATTAGTTTCTGATGAATCATTATGATTTGAGAAATTAGAAGGAAACAAATTGTAAGTTACGTACGGGTAATAAAAGCTAAGAATGAATTGAAAAAAAAAAAAAGATTATGTAAATATTTTCAAATTATTATTATTGTTTTTTGAACATACAGGAATATGTTGCCGCTCAGAACAATAAGGCTGGAATAAGCAGACAAAATTGAAGTTTCGGAAAGGGGAAGTAAAGCAATTATTGGAGGTTCTGGAGCTACAGAAAAAAGCTGGGGGAGCCTCAATGATACGTTTAAATCTTCCGACCTTCATCCTTCTGTTCACAAGGCTGGTCTCATCACTTTTAGCTTCAAAACAAAATTGCCCCACAAAAATTTACTTGTTCTATGTTTCACATTCACATTATATTATATTATATTATATATATATTTTCTTACCTATGCATTCATGTATCTAAACATGGTTTGAGATCTGTGCGTGATTCAGAGAACTAAAATTAATCATTATGGGTAAAATCTTGGTACTATAATCATTATTCATCTGTCTCTTTCTTAATGTGATATGGATGTGCGTATCTTCCTTCCGGTTCCTGCTAGAGGAAAAGTAAATGAGGGGATGTATCATATTCAAAATATAAATCTCAATTTATTTTATGTCTCTTGTATTTATAATTTTTTCTTAGATTAAATTATTTATAATAATTACACATATTAAAAAGTTTCTATCAAGTGATATTTTCAATGCAAATAACTAAAATGATATTTTAGGAAAATCAATATCACTCTCACTCTTATTGTAAGTTACTCAAAGGAAAAAATTTTGGACCTGATAAATATAAGTAGTCGCTTGTAAGATATTTAACGATGATTTTTCCATTTTATCTTTATTAAATTCTCATTAGAAAGAGATAAAGAGAAAACAGATGTAAGAATGATTTATAAACGAAAAGAGGAAAAAACTTTATTAAGGGTAAATTTGAAAACTTTTATCAATTTAATGTATTATTTAAATATGAAAATGAGTTACAAGTGACTTATAATTTAGAACCGAAGGCATACACATTTTTTATAAATATTACTTCTGATCCTAAATATAATATTATTTTATATGATAAATCGAATCTTATATTTAAAATTAGAGAGATAAAAATTAAGGTAACTAGTTTGCTTAATCTAATACAAACTGGTTAAGTAACTCAACAACAGGAGGGAGTAGTATATGAGATCCCCTATTTCTGTGTCTTTCTAGTGCGTGCATGTTGCTCTCTTAGTTAAGTGAGAGTTGAGACTCGTTGAAAGCTGTAGTTCCATACCCATTAGTGAACTTAACAGTAAGAAAGCTACTAATATCTAAATTCCTTTCACAATAATAAGCAAGTTAATTATGAGGGTCGGCGAGGGAATAATCCTTTTGGATTACGGGATTTGACTGTTTGTAGTACCTAATTACTTGAGAGCCAATTTTACTAAATGACTTTGACAAAATATAATTATTTTTTCCTAAATTTTTCTTATCCTTAAATATAAGTTCTATTTAGGCTTCCTTATTTTTCTGTCTTTCTTTTCTATTTAGACTAGGACTTTTTGTCTTAACCCTCGTTTTGTTAACGTAATTGATCCTTTACTCAAAAAAAGTTCTATTTAGTCGACAAAGATCAGTTCAGTTAATAAAAAATTGACTTGTAACTCATAAGTCGTGAGTTTAAATTTTACTACTCATATAAGGACTTTGTTAGTAAAAATTGCATTGAAAACATAGTCATGTAATTAACCTCACCTGACTAGATAATTAACTTGTACTGATTATCCTTTTCATGACTTGGATGCATTAGCCGGCCCCACTCGGATAGGAATATCCTTTGATGTTCGATGCTGAGGTTCCCTGATTTTTCGTATGACTAATAAAATTGCACTATATATTTGATTAATTTAAGATTCTTGAGAATAAATAACTTGTAAAGTCGATCCTTAAAAATATTTTTTTTTCTAAATTTTATGTAATGTTTGGGAGTTATTGGGACCTTAGTTGTATCATTATAGGTATTTCGAATTTGTTTTTGCTCCTATTTCGCATTAAAGGCTCCATTGATTGAGACATCAAAGTATAGCCTATGATTTTCTTTATTTGAGAAAAAAGAAGTATAGCCTATGATCATGAGGTGGGGAAAAAGGAGAGAAAGATAATAGCGCTTCATTATGATTTCAGTGTAGGGAAAGTGCAAGGGTCAAGGATTCGATTTGCCTTTTGAAAAATTAAAAGGAAAAAAAAATTAATTTTAGCAATTTAATAAATTTAGAAGACTTAAAATATATTTTTATTAAAAGATAAAAAACATATTTTAAATAAATTCAAGCCATCAAAATTAATTAAACGATAGCAAATTTTGGGAAAATATGTAGAAGGGCCTCATTGGAGAAAAATGACACTGAAGTACTACAAATTAATGAAATTATTTTTTTAAAAAAATTGATCCTTTGGTCAAATATTTTCTTTAAAAAATTACAAATGGATAAAAAATGATTTTGTGAGGTCGATAACATTGTTCAGTTGTGAAAATAAAGGAAATTAGTTGTAAAAATTGGGACCAGTTGCACAGAATGGAACAGACAAATTAGAAACGATTAGAAAAATGGAAGACTTAGTTATGAAAAACCAGAGATTAGTTGCAGAAGTAGAAGATTCAATGATAAAAATTAAAAGATTAAATGCAAAAAAAGGAATAAATAGCTGGGAAAGATTAGAAATTGGTAGACTCAATTATAAAAAACAAAAAACAGGGAAGACCGCACATGGTGAAAGATTTAGCTGTAAAAGGAGGAACATTAAATCGAAAAAAGATTTAAAAGCCAAAAGACTTAATTATAAAAATTAAAATATCAATTGCAAAAAAAAAAAAGATTATAAAAATTAAAATATCAATTGCAAAAAAAAAAAGATTAAGTTATAAATTTATAATATCAATTGCAGAATATAGGAAGACTCAATTATTCGCAACTAACTGTTTTACTTTTTGCTGTTTCAGTTCATACAATATTGCGTACGCCACAAAGATGTCTTTATCTAATTGATCTTTCCAAAAAAAGACATCTTTTGGCTGATGGAAATAATCTTTCTAGTAATTCCATCAATTCATGTAGTTTTAATGTCATTTTCTCTCTATTAAATTCCTTTTGCGTCATTTTCTTATTGGATTCCCATGCATCCTTGAAATGGGAGCGTGTAGCTTTTCCCTCAATTGCTCTTTTGCTCAATACTTTCATTTGTTTCAAAACAAAATTAAAAAAAAAAAAAACGATCTAAAGTTTGTGCCTTAAAAGGCATCACAGAAAACTAGGCTTCATTAAAAAAATGGTTAGATATCCTTGACTTATATCTTTTATCTGCTTCTTTGAAACGTGGGTAAGGTCCTTTAAAAGCAATTTTTCAGTCATTATTTACACAATATAAAATAAATATGTGAAGAAAATTATATCTTAGTTTACATAAACAAACTTGTAAGTACTTAATATAAACAGCTTCAAACGAATCTTACAAGGATTTAGTGTTGGATTAGTTTTTTATAAATGATTTTATAATCTACGAGATAAGTATATGTGAGAGATGTTTTGTCTTAACTTGTTTTAAAGTATTTTTTTAATTAATTGTATGGGGTATCCAAACTCCCCCTTGGTACAATATATTACCTCCGGTCCTGATTAGAAGAGTTAGTTGGCTAATTTGAGGAAATTACGAAAATAAGTTAAGTTAGTTATTTGTAATAAATAGATGTTGTCTTTCCTAAAATATTCTTGCTAATCAAGTGTGTTAGCTAAAACTACAATTATTAGAAGGATTATTTTGAAAAAAAATTGTATAAATATGAGAGACAAAGTGGATTGGAATCTTATATTTAGAACCAAAATAAAAATCAAATAAAGTTTTATATTAAGGATGAGTAGTAATTGAATTTATCTTTAGACACCCTAAAAAAAAAATCTAAGGGGGAAAATGGGTGTAGTTGAGTGGTCGAACCCAATTCATATGGAAAAGTGAAGGAAAGGTGAGAATATATGTTTTCCATCTCTTTCCAAATAAGGGAGAGGACATTCATTATTATTGAACATATTTTTTAGTGTAGGACTCACCCTATGCTTCTTTTTTGCTTTTGTTGTTTGGGTGGCCACCTAAGCTACACCCTAATTCACTAAACTTTATATCACTTATTTTTTATTCCTTTGTTTCTTAAAAAAATCCTTCAAAAAGATATTAGAGTCCTTTGAATTGAATTCAACCTTAATAGTCTTGATTCTTTCCTTATATTTTTTATCTGCATCTACTTGGTACACATATGCTATAATTTTATAAGGTTAAATTTAAATTTTGTTGGCATGCAATGCAGAGATTAAAAAAATAGTTATTTATAAAAATATATATATTGATTTCTTAAATATCCAGTTTAATCATTTTTAATAGAAACTATTCTATTGATAAAATTTTTTTCTTAAGATGTATAATTGATAAGGAGAGAACAGAAAAAACTTATAATTGAAATGACAAAGTGAATTAATTATTATTTTAGACCCACAAAAAATCCTTCTACTAATTTTCATATTTAGGATAAAAAAAAATTTTAATAAAATTAACGAGTGATGAACATGATTTATTCTTTGTTTTATTATATACCATGAGGACTGTATAAGGAACTGAAAAAAGAACATAGACCCCTTCCTTCAATTATTTTGTCATTGTCGTTATTTGTTTAAGCTACTTCCACTAAATGTTTCAAAATTTATTAAGAAAGGGCATAAATGAGAAGCAATCATTTGACCTTTTTGGGCGGATGAGTTAAAAATTTCTGGAAAGAGCCATCCATTATTAGGTGTGAGAAGCTTTTAGTACTATATAATGGAACCCTACTTCTTAAGTCGTACCTATTATGTGGCACACGCACGTATTATTTTCTGTTTGTTTTACATTTAATTTAGTTTTTATAAGACATTAATCTATTTTATTTTTTTATTTTTATCTATTTTAAAATAATTTTTATAGTAATTACACATATTAAATATTTTATCAAATAATAGTTCTAACAAATATATATGATTAACAAGAGTTCTAGTAAAGATCATTTATTTATTATAAATAACTAACTTAACTAATCTTTTTAATTTTCCTAATTAGTTAACTATATTTTATATTCAGGATTAGGATACATATGGGAGTATATTATTGTGATTTCATTATAATAAATTTTTACCATGCTTCTTTGCAATTAAGAAAAATATTAAATCTCATTAACTACTTCAAAATTTAATAACTTTTTAACTTTATCTCTATTTAATATATACTCTATATTTTGATGACTTATTCTCATGAATAGTAAATGAAAGATACAATTATACATTCATGTGTAAAAGATTTACGCTGCAAATTGGTCTCGAAAATTTTCACTCAAGAGCACTAAGCACTTAGAAATTTTTTTAGGTGCAAATTCACCTTAGACATTTAAAATTGTAGCAATATTGTGCATAAGAAAAACAAACCTTCACCATCAAAGCCATTATGTTGACCACTAATACTTTTAACAGTAAATGACAATATTGTTATGATTTTAAATTTTTAGATAAATTTTTATTGAAAAAATTTTCGATGTCCAATACTCTTGAATGAAAACATTTAGATAAAATTGTATCTTAACCTTGTGAAAAATTTAATTATGTAACTTATGTTAAAAAAAAAATCCTTATAATAAGACCAAAAGCGTGTGCATTATTGGTCTTGCTTATGAAACAATGGGTAGCTTCATAATGCTACTCTATCGCTATCATAAAAATGCAGAAGCCATAGGAACACCAATAGAATAGAGTACTGTACTTAACTAGACACTTAGGACTTGACTATACATTAGCATTGTAGCTTATTCTACAGCTTTTTGTTTTTTTTTTGGGGCCAATATTCTGCAGCTATAGTAAGATGCCAGAATCTTTAAACGTACACTGGAATCTTTAATTACCAAAATCAATATCTATTATATATATATATATATAATCAAATCAATCATCATTATATAGCTTTGTTTGATGAATAATGGATACTGATAAAATTTGATAGATATATATTGTATCGGATTACATAGAGTACTGTACTTAACTAGACACTTAGGACTTGACTATACATTAGCATTGTAGCTTATTCTACAGCTTTTGTTTTTTTTTTTTTTTTTGGGGCCAATATTCTGCAGCTATAGTAAGATGCCAGAATCTTTAAACGTACACTGGAATCTTTAATTACCAAAATCAATATATCTATATATATATATATATATAAAATCAAATCAATCATCATTATATAGCTTTTGTCCGATGAATAATGGATGCTGATAAAATTTGATAGATATATATTGTATTGGATTACATACTTTGTTTACAGCCGTTTTGTTAATATTTATTTTATTTATAATTACAAATATTTATAGCAACAATTTAAAATATTAGGCAAACTTAGGTGAGGTCAACATTGTAATTCTATAAAATACATATACTCCTCTGGTTCTATTTATAAAATACTTTCAGTATGTTTCACATAGACCAAGAAAAATCTTAAACTTCATTAACTCTCATTTAAAATTTAATGACTTTTCAACTTTATCCCTATTTAATATATATCATACCTCATATAAACAAAGTCAACATAATAATAAATAAGGGGTAAAATTGTATATCCATACAAAAAATTTCTTCTAGTGCCCTATAAATAGGACCAGAAAATACCTTCTCCTCTGCCTTATAAATAGGACCAGAAGAGTATATAAATACTCTTTCGGTTTTAGATATAAAACCCTTATACACACTACAAAAAAATTTTATATTAGATAGAACAGAAAAGTAATAAGTTACATAATGTGCTACAGAAGGGAAAGGAATGCACGTGCTTAATCAGTGGCTCTCTGGAGTATGGACTACCTACACCAACCCCTTAAAGTGAAGGACGCATTAGGGTTGGCAAAATGGTCCCCCTAATTCACATATAAAGAATAAAAAGCTTTTTACTTAAAAGTCCAAGCCCCTGGTAAAATTTTTTATACTTATAATATAATATAATATAATATAATAATATATACAAATTGCATGAAATAAAGCATCATTTTATATATCATCATTTTGAAAAGTAAATTTTATTTTCTTTATAAGCACATGCTTCCAAAGATGTTCCTGCATTCACAAGAATTCGAATTTCATCTCATATGCTTCAATGACAAAAGCTCCTACTGTGATCAACGCAGGTTTGAGAAAAGTACAATTTCCTCCCCTCTTTTAGATTCTTTTCCCCCTTTTTGAATGTTGTATTCACTTGCATTATAAAAATTAATCGATACTTTACATTTTATGTTAAATATTGAATATATCGAACATCAAATTGATTTAGGTTTTCAATAAACCAATTAAAATGGAGCACAACCTTATGATATGCTCCTCTCCTCTTGTCTTTTATATAAAACTTTTATTTAATTCTAAATATAAAACATATTTATCATATTTATTAATAAAAAAATTATATTTCTTATAGTTAACTAACTTATTTAACTTTCCTAATTTAACCAAATTAGTTAAATAAATCTTATATTAAAAATTAAAAAAGTATTTTATACGTAAGATCTTGTCATCGTAGTAATATTTTTGTAAGGTAGTGACAAGATATGCCATTAACAAACATGTATAATATTACTTACATGGTAACTTGAAATTAAATTTTATTTTTTTGATAAAAAATCTATTTGAAATGTTCATACATATGTTAAAATTCATTTAGCTTATCCTTTGTTTTTTCTTTGCAAATAAAACCTTCCTATCTAAAACCACCATTAACAATCTGCTGGGAAATTAAAATCTAGGACCTTATATTCAGAAAATTTACACTGAATAACCTTACTCCACGATCAACAAATATCAAACATGTGCTTTTGTTCAACAAATTTTGTCAAAATCATCTAATCCCCTACTTGCCTTGAGCTCCATAAATATCTTCTTCTTTTTAGGATAACTGAAGCAAATAGACTTCAAGGCTTCTAGCATATATAGAATTCAGAGTCAATCCAGGGTCTGCTACCACCTGCTACATAAAGAGTTGGTGTGAAGAACCTACACATTTGTAGAGATTGTACCACGACCACATGCCATCAGAAACATTTCCTGTGAACTATGGAAGGTCCGGTTTCATCGTAGTCCGCCTTAGTTACGTGCTGATTTTGTGGGAAAACTACTTTGGCGAGTATGGCACCTCCCACCCATGCAGAATATGTGGTTAAATTTTCTGGCATATATTCTGGAGGCTGCAGCAACACAAGAACAGGGAGGAAAACTAGAACATGAATTGAGGTGCTGATATGAATAAGCATATAGCACTATAAGATAAAGAATTGAAAAGATAACCCACAAAAATTTCATAATCTGCTCAGGAAGCCGAGGAACATGCGAGTATTAGTTGTCAAATGTTAACGCAAAATCTAAATTAGTTACTCAGTCCATCTGACCGACAATCTGGCCTGATGAGTTTTAAAATCGTCACAAGTACCAGCTACAAATTTCGAAAATATTTAGACAAGTTAATAAAAGTATGCTTTCTCACTCTCTTTTTCCCGTTTTCTAAACATCGAGAATGTTTGAATCTTGGGATCTCTACCCCAATCTACCCCACCTTAACCATGAGCTAGGTTCAGGAGTGTTAATAGTATGTTCTTTTATTTGCATTTTATAATTTAATGATGCTGGTAGGAGGCTGATATATATAAATAGCCAATGAAATCAACGCAACAGAAGGAGCAAAACCATGCTATACTTGTCTGAGACAAAATGTAAATATGTTGATCCTATATTTAATCACCAGATATATACTCATTGAACTTCAGGACTCAGTTGCCTCCAAATTATGAAGCTGATGTGAATGATTGGTTTTTAAAAAAACTATTGGATAACCAAATTACCTTAACAAGAGTGGGTCGAATAGCAGATGAAGTCAGGTTAGCTTCCTTCTGAAACCTTTCTTCAAAACCTAGAATAAGAAACAGCATAAACATGTTAGAAGTAAAGCAACAACTTCACCATAAACAGGAATTTACTTTAAGGTCCGTTTGGTATGAAGCATTGAAAATGAGGAGTAAGAACTAAGATTGCAATTGAAAAAAATCATTAAAAAAGTCTTTAGCATGAGTAATTGCTTGTTACATGGGATTAGACAAACCAATGTACTTCCATGGATTTGTCTAATCCTATGTAATAAGCAATCTCTCATGCTAAACACTATTTTCTCAATCTCAATCCCTATCCTCCATTTTCAATGCTTCATACCAAACGGTACCTAAGAAACATATATTGCGTAATAAAAATAATAAGAAGGATTAACAATAAAAAGAATAATACAAGTTAATTAAACCTATCCTCCCTTAACAATAACTGGTATAATTTACTTTTAAATTATAATCTCCCTTTGTTGTCATCCAAGTTTCTAATTAGACAACAGTAAATTTAAGGGTCCAATATTTAGTTGCTTTCCATTCTAAACCAGAAACTTGGGAGCCCTTACGCCCATAAATTTTGCAATTTAAACAGTAAAACACTAAATGTACATCAAAATATGCACTTCCTCGCTAATCTTGAAATGGGACATGAAGAGAAAATATAACATAAGTTCATATCACGCATATTATAAATCCAAAAGAACTATGAAAATGAAAATTTACCAGTCATAGCAGAAGGGCCACCACAGACCACAGTATTTTCCAGCAGTTGCCTGTGATTATCCGATGACACAGTTGAAATAGTTCGTACAAGCTGTTCAACGATTCCGTGTGTCTCTAAACCCAATAGAGATGGCTGGAATAAAGCTTCACCAACAGTATATCTTTCCCTCCCAATGGTTATCACCTGAAAATATTTCAACAATCAGATCACATTATAGAATATTCTTTATGCTTGAATAAATTCCCGTAAACCAGACCAGAACCTACATTATAGATCCTCCTCTAATCACAATCCAGCAAGCTCCAACACTGTGAGGGAAACAAGGTACTATATGCCTCTTCTTACAAATCAGCCTCAGATAAAAAGTGCAGATTTCTGACCAAATTAGTGCTTAGAGAGAGGTTCCGCTTTGAGTTAAGTTAATCTAGTTATCAAAGTACATGGCATATTCAGCATGATCAGAAGTTTAGAGCAAAATTTAAGAGTTTAGATTGACCAAGACATAAAAATCAATTGAGCTCCAGCGTAATAATTATTGTCCTCATTTCTGCTCATAAGCTTGTTTAAATAAGGCAAGATGATCTTAAGCAACCCTTCCCCAACTGTATCATTAATTGTTCACCCCATTAATGTCTTCACTTCCACCACACTTTTGGAACCACTATTAATTCCCACCCAGGCTAGGTTGCCAGGTTAAGAGTCATACCAGTTTATTAACTAGAGAATATACCAAAACCTACCAACTAAAAAATCAATATCAATAAAAACTTAAAGGAGCAAGCATCATATCTCAAACAGGGAACCTAAAAGGCAGACCTGTCCATCAGGAAGGGTATGTTTCTCCGGAACACAAGAATCCTGGATTTTCCGATAAGCTAATTCATCTTCAGCACAACATGAGTATTGCTCTTTTATTTTCTCAACCTCAGACAAGCCGATGCTTACAGCTGGATTTGACTTGCCGAGTTCTTGAGCCAAGAAATTTGTTAAATCAATGCCACCAAACTCAAATCTTTTTGAGGCAATGTGATGAACAGCACCCTCAATTACTGGTGCAATATCTGTTTATAAATAAAAAAAGAACAAGACGCATATAACAAGTAGTAGGTGTAAGACCATGTGGAAATATGGAATGATGCTCAATCAACAAAAATATGTACTTCAATGGCACACAACATAATACCACGGCCATTTCAAATTAACATCTATATTCAAATGAGTGCTTATCTTCTTACCATATATTAGTAGATCTATCGTATTTATATTTCTTACTTAGATAAATAAGATGCAGTGAAAAGATTGCAATTACAATGCTTTGATTTTAGAAGAATTTAGTTGTAATATTTTTTTTTCAATAAAGAATATTATAAGAGAGAAGAAAGATAGAATGAGAAGTACAAACAATCAATAAATACTAGGATTCTAAATTAAATTAAGTAATTGACAGGCCTAAGCATCTGATTCTTTGCACATAAACAAGCTAATATAATATATAAAATTGCGAAAATATGGCATGAAAAGTAAGCCAGGTAGAATGAATATGCAAGAGCACTTGATGGATGAATTATTTAAGCCATCATAATTACTTAGTGACGAGCTCTTCAAGGGTCATCTTGAATCCCAAGGTCCACAGATTTCACATGAAACTCAAAAGTCAAAACGGACAGTTTCACTCTCACCAGAGAGATCAGAAAAACCGTCTATTCAATGTAAAAAGGCCTATCAAACAACCACTGATAATCTGAAAATATTCAATATTGTAGCGACCATTCACATCGTTATGCATATGCATACCTATTTTTCCATGACCAATATCAACAGTGCATCCTGAGATACGTCCCACAGCATACAGTGATAGCACTGCTTGTTCTGAGGCATAAAAGCCTGATATGTTGAACGTTTCAAACATTAGTTGCACTAACTGTTCTTTATTAGCCTGGAAAATAATTACGCAACCCTCTGTTAAAAATAGGGTGTATGATGCAATGTAAAAGAAGGCTATGTACATATTACTGGCAATTTCTATCAAAGACAGACAGAAGAGAAGATCAACCACCACCAAAAACCTAGTCAGAAAGAAAATACATCAATCATGGAAGGAAAAGAGTCTTCCAGAAGATTGCTCATTCATACACAAAAAGAAGATGCAAATTGTCTAGGCGTCCCTAATGTAAACCCAACTATTCAAGTAACATTGTATACTAGCAAACTTAAATTTAGGGAAATGTTGCTGAATGTTTCTGAAGATATTGCAAAAACTACATTACGCTCTCTTCTTTGTTGTTTGTCTTCAAAAGGTAAAGTGTTGAGATTCATCGAAGTTGTGTTTTAATTGAGTATGAAGGTACTGTGTTTTAGCGCCCAAATCATTGTTTTGAAGAGGTAATCTAAAAATAATTCGATGAGGGGCTTGCCGTCAATGAGGAAATTCCATTAATGTAATAAAGATACCAATTGCAGTTCCAAAAACTCCACATGTTTTATTTATTTCAAAAAGCTCAGAAGATACCATGTCTAGGTTCATTTAAGCTGCAATTTTTTCTTTTGGTGAAAGCTGCATGTCCAGATTGTAATATGCCAAAGGTCAATATCAAAAGTATCTTTGTTAATTAAAGCAGCTTTTACAGTTAAACATGGTTTGAACATGGATTACAAAAATATTTTGCTGACAGAGTTGAATGGGATGTGCTGCCACAAGGTCTTAGTTCACTGGATCAAAGGGGTGGAGAGTAAGTTTTGAGTGAAAATCCAGTTTACGGTCATTCCTGCAAGCTTCAGGGGGAAGGATTATAAGTTACATGTCTGCAAAAAAGACAACAAAATGAAGCTTCTCAAACCTTTGGCGTACAAAGAGGATCTGTGAATAGAATTTGCCCTTCATTGCCAATTTCCCATCCCAGGCCAGTATATAAAACATGGTGCAACAAATCCTCCATTGCATCCCAATCTCTGACAAACCCTCTCACAATTGGATCGATGGTAACATCCTCAGTTACTGAATCATCAGTCACTGATCCATCATCAAGCATGCGTTTCATCTGAGTAGGAATGATCTGAATCATATCAATAGAACCACAATTAGTAGGGCAAAATTCCAAGACTTAAGATGATTAAAAAAGGAGGAAAAAATATGGAAGAACTGAAGAAGAGCTCAACATCAAAATCATTTCTTGGGAACAAAACTTATATAATCTATCAAGCAAGAAATTGCATTTTGTGGTGACATCAGGAAGAAAGACAATGAGTGAGGTAACATTCCCATTAATAATTAGAAATAACAATTGTCAAATAACTGACTAAAAATAAATATATGACAATAGGTTACAGATAATAGTGTTGAAAAACCTTTTTTTAACATTGCCAAAGTAATGTGGTAGGAGTTGAAATGACTAAAAAACTGTTTAGGTATTTATGCATGCATACAGGCTAAAAATGCACACCTCTCTAACCGCAATTTTCTTCGATAATTTTAGTAGAATAAAATTGCTATCGAACAAACCATCACCTGGTCACTAGCGCATTCACCTTCCGCGGGAATATTTATTTTTATCCTAATTTTCTCCAAAGACTAATATATCTAGCATTAATCGACATAAAAGTATAATTCCTCTAAGCAACCAAACAGTGAGGTGGTTTTCCTCCAACTCGGAGAAGCAAAATAAAGTCTTTGTTTTTTCTGTCAATCTCCTTCCCTCCAATGTTTCAAATTGAGGCCAAGAAAAAAAAGGTCTTCAAAGATAACAAAAGGATATCATTTGTTTACCACAAAAAGCAGAATGGGTGAGGTTCATAAAATTTGCACTTTTCTTATCTAATGCGCTAATTTTCCCGCAAAAATTTGAAGGAAAGACGAATTCAGCTGGCTCATTGATTAATTACCATAGCAGGAGCCTGATCAGGGATAGCGAATCCTGCTTTGAGGAGCTTTGAGCCAGCGTCGACGACCGCAGCCTCCATGCCCTTCTTTCTTGCCCAAAACCCTAGCTTTCAGTTTCAAAGCTTCGGAAATGACCTCTCGCAATTGAGCTTGATGCCCAGTACAAAGTAGCAACACCTGAAAGCAGAAATGAAGAAAACGCTGTTGCCGGAGCTATTTTGCAGTTAGCGGTAACGATATTTGAACATGCCGTCTCGTCTTCTATCTCTTGGTCGGGTAAATTGTAATAAACTAGTACAAGACCCGTGCGATGCACGGGTGTGATATGGTCTATTGCCATATAAAAAATCAAATGAAAATAAAATGGTTAGCCATTTGAAAGATATTGGATGTAATAGTGTCATATGATAATATGGCAGTTGATAATTATAAAGAAAAAATATAATGTTTGAGTCTGATGTGATTTTGTCTTATTTAATAATTACAAGGAAAGATGTATAGACAAAGAAAATCTAATGCATTAAAGAACGTTTGATTACTTTTCATCAACACAGGAAATGGAAAGATACACAATACTTGGTGTTCTCCATCCTATCACCTCGCACCTATTTCCTTTAAATGATAAAAAAAATAAGAAACAAACCATTGTAAATGTAGAGATTAATCACCCAACACTCCATTATAAATAATATAATAATTAGCCCTAGTCGTATCAGACAATTGTATAGGCCAACAGCATACTTTATATGAAATTATTACTTATACTGGAAGTACAAACATATGATATAGAATGAAATTTGTGTTCCCATGAAATTTGAACAAATATTTAGGCATCATATTAAATAAAAATATGAAGTGAAAATACCCCATTCAAATGATATCTAAATTTTCATTGTTAATATCATCATATTAATACAAAAAACAAAGTAATGGCAAAAGAACAGCATGGATATGAATATGAAGATATTATCACTTTTAAAGTTTCAACTTACCTTCCAGCTCAAAAGGAGAAAGTCATAATCACTACACATTCACAAAATATTGCATATATGAAATGGTGACCTACTACATATATGTTTGTATATGCACAAGCATGGATCAATACTGACCTAGGTGTCTCTCAATTCAAAAGGTTACAGAAGACTTCCTTATAAACAACATTTGAAGTTTTATTGGTAGGAGTGCCTTTGTCATCAAGGAGCAATATTTTTAAACCTTCCCGTCGCCGCACTCGTGAGATAGCAACGTATAACTGACCATGTGTAAAGACAGGACGAGGCAGAAATAACCCTACATTGAGAAGACTTTGACCTTGACTCTTGTTTATAGTCATTACAAAAGATAGCATTACAGGAAACTGTCTTCTACATAGAGTGAAAGGCAAAGACGTCTCAGATGGTGTGATGGTTAAGCGTGGAATCAAGACATGCATGCCAGTATTACTTCCTGTGATAATCTCAGCTCCTATCACATGTTTCTCCAAACGTGTGACAATTAACCTAGTCCCATTACAAAGACCTATGGATTTATCAATATTTCGCATCAACATTATAGGAGCACCGACTTTAAGGCTTAGCTTGTGATTTGGCAATCCAGACATTGTGATTGTATTTAAGAATTCAACCGAGTGTATTTCTGCAATGGAACTGTTGGCACCATCTGATTTGCAAACACTGTCAGCACTAAGATAATTGACTTCCTCACCTGGTAGCTTTGCAAGCATATAACTATTCAATTCATAAACAACAGATAATGTAGCTGTTAGGATAGCACGATCCCTGAAGTAAGACCCATCGCCTAGGCGGTCAACCAAACTTGGATATGTACTGTCAATAATGCAATCCATAGGATTCCCTAATGGAAACAATAACAAATCTCTAGGTATGGTAATAACATCTTCTGTGTCAGGTTCAATGTCAACATTGCCATCTCCAACAGAAATAATCCATTCTGAAAACTTTGTTACTGCATCTACATCATCTGTGTAATGACCTTTGGTTAGTCTCATGTTTTTAGTCAGTGTGAAGACAGTGCATTCATTCCACAAGTATGAAGCATTAATAGTAGCAAAGACAATGTCTTCACGCCCACCTCGTGGTATGACAGGAAGTATTTGCCTAAAGTCTCCTCCAAGCACCACAGTTTTTCCGCCAAATGGTTTTCCTATAGCATTAGGATCATTTCTTCTAATGATGTCTCGTAATGTTCTATCCAATGCTTCAAAACAATGCCTGTTTGCCATTGGTGCTTCATCCCATATTATCAATGAGGCTTGAATTAAAAGCTCTGCTAGTGGTGTTCCCTGTTTAATGTTGCAAACTGAATCTTCAGTGATGGCAAGAGGGATTGCAAATTGTGAGTGAGCTGTTTTACCGTTAGGTAATAAAAGTGATGCAATGCCACTCGATGCAACAGTAAGAACAATCCTCCCTTCAGATCTTAATGATGCACATAATGTTTGCCATAAATATGTTTTCCCAGTTCCTCCATATCCATAAACAAAATATAGCCCTCCCCGCACATTATGAACAGTGTCAATTATTGTATTGTAGATTGTACTCTGCTCTTCTGTTAAGTTTCGAAGAAAGACATGTAATTGCTCCTTAAGGACATTACGATCAAAATCTAACTCAGCCAGCACCAATTTATTGACCGCTGATACATTTAATGATCGAGCTGGATAAGGCATTGTTGGATAATCTTGAAGACTTCTCCCATTAAGTTGTAGCAAATCTTCAATTTTATGTAAAGCATGGTCTTGCAATTCAGCATCACTAAGAGAAAGTCCTGTTTGATCATAGAATGACATCTAAATTGTAATGGTTGTTGAAATAACAGTTAATTAACAAAACAATATAAAATAACAATGAGATGTGAGAGAATAATTCTTTAAAAAAAGAGTGTAAATATGGGGGGATGCATACCAGGATGGCCTGTCAGCTGTTGTTGGCTATAAAGTATGTCCTCTGCCATTAATTTCCATGATTGCTGCCACACAATTTCAGGGCGTGATATACAGTTACATAGTAACAATGTGCAAAACAGGCGACGAAGGTAATTTGGAGTGGCCCACTGATTTGCCTCCTGAATAGCATCAACGTACTCTTTGTCATCCTCTAATAACCCTAGGGCATAGCAAGCATCCCTAAATGTAGGATGGAGGACATCATCAACAGTTCTCAATTCCTCAAAAGATCTTGGCCCTTTAACAGTTGCTAACAACATACGAAGATAAAAGGCTTCTCCAGTGCCAGGGGGAACATAGCATATTCTTCCAATAGAGAATCCTGTTTTTCTAAAGTCCCAATAATGACCAGGTTTTTTGAACACAAATTTGGTTGGGAATTCAGAGTATGTTAAAGCACGTGCTTCATCATATTTTTCATTTGCCCTCATCCAAGCTTGGAACATTGTTGGTTTGCCTTCATTATGGTTAACCACATCATCAAGGTTAGCTTCATCTGCATAAATAATTGTTTGCTGATTTGGTAGGTGGAAGGAAAGTCTTTCAACTGATGGAGTTCTATAGTTTATATCAAAGCCAAAAATCCTCCAAACAGCTTCACATGGAGATAAATACCGAACATCATAGTACATTTTAATTTCATCATGAACAACTTCCCTCTCACCTGATGAAGACTCACCGTAAAAGGCTATGGTAGCTCGATCATGACCCTTACTCACATATTTGAACAAATACTTAATTGATTCCCCATGTTTACATCTCTCAACATTTAAATGAGCCTGATATTTTAACAGTAATGTAGGGTTGTAAGGAATCACACTCCTATTGTCTAATGGAACTCCATTTTTCAAAATATACTGACCATTGTTCGGCCTTTTATAACGGGGATACCCATCTTCATGAATGATCGTGCTAGAGTTAAAAGGCTTTGGATAGTATTTGGAACACTTGCCATTAACCATGCATGGAGATTTTGGGTTAGCTAAACCACATGGTCCATGCATCATGTAGTTACTAACAGCTTCAAACAATTCTGGCTGTTCATTTTTATCCGGTATTTCAGCACTAATGACTTGGTCAATTTCTTGAGGAGAATCAAGATGGGATTGGTTTGCTAGAAACAAAACGATGTGAGCATGGGGAAGGCCTCTCTTTTGAAATTCAATTGTATACAATGCTGTAAAAAATTTAGCAACATATGAGAAAGATGAACAACTGTAATATAATTTTGAACCACCTGACTATTACTCATTTGTGAAAAACAATAATATCAAGAAGATTATAAGATATGGTTAATTTAATAATATGCAAACTGACCTGCTTTAATAGGACCAAAAATATCACCCTTCTTCAAATCTTGCATGAGATGCTCCAATTTCATCTTGAAAACTCTTGTTAGAAAATCTGGACGGTCTTCAGGTCGTAAATCTTCTTCTTCTAAAGCTCTTGTTATTTCTGGCCATTTTGGGTTGCAGGTAAATGTGATAAACAGTTGAGGATAACCAGCCCAATTGCAAATTGCTATTGCATCTTGATAATTATTCATGATGTAACGTGCTCCTCCAGTAAATGATGAAGGAAGGATGATCCTTTTTCCTCTTGCAGCCGCATCAGTCTCACCCAACAACAAAGCATCTGTTAACCCTTTATACATTTCTGCTCGTAGTTGTTGTTGATTATTCCTTATGAAGGTTAGCCTGTATGATTCTATCATTGTATATGCATCAACAACAAATTGTTGGAAAAGTTTCCCACCGTGCAATATTGAAGAATATTCAGTATTCCTGTCCTGTATCATATAAGCAAAATACTCACGCATAGAAACATTGGTAATCTTGGCTACTGGTGCCTCTCCTCTTACCACATGAGGTATTTTTTCATCATATCCCCCTTCACCATATGGAAATAACAATGGATACTGTAAAGGCAGAAAGTCAGGATGATTTTCATGTATCCTATGTAATAATCCTGTCTTGTATTGAACGATGATATCTCGACCGTATTCAGTGGATCCAATATCTCCTACAATTAAAGCAGCTATCTCATTTTCAGAGGTTGGCATATCATATTGACGGACATTTCTCCCACGCCTATGCATAAGTCTAATTTTGATAGTTTGTCCCTCATGAGCATGAATATAATCACGAGCCCGACGGAATACTTTTACTAACTTATTGTGCTCATCTAGCATATTCTGCAGCATCTGTACAAGAGAAATATCCACTAACGATGATGTGCTACTATCTCCACTGAAAAGCAAATAGTGATAATTAGGAAAAAGGAACAAATGATTTAACATGTGTGTAATAAGGACAAACAATAAGCAAGTAATATAAGTTGATCAAATCTCACTATTTGTACCTTGTTGCGGAAATTCTGTTGGCAACTTCATTGGATGTATCATATATGTACAACTGAGCAAATTTTGGAGTAGCTCCATCTGTAGGGAGTATGCTACCAATCAAATGCATATTTTGACCACTCAGCTTATACACATAAGGTGCACGTCCATCATTAACATTTCTATCTATTTTTCCACCCATAGATGTAAAAGCAAACATCATATTATATGTCCTAACATGCATGCGAAAATGATTGCTTTGTGGGTGATGTCCAGCTAATAAGTTGAACAATTGAACTGGTGGATCTTGAAAAGTAGGAAGCTGTACTTTGCCTTGAAGGCAACACATGCCAAATCTTGGTGGATTCTCATTTCGGTGTTTTCTAAGTCGTTCATCATACCACATCTTTGCACCACAGTCAGGACAAATGTAAATGCGGTCACCAAGATCTTCATAAGTTGGTAACTCTACAGGCAGTAGTAATTCATTATCATATAAATTACACAGGAAAAATTCGACACCTAAAGTATTTAATTTAGGTAAATTGAAAAAAATGACATATTTAGTGTATATAGTACCTTGATTGTTACCAGCTGAGCCTCCAAATGGCACAGTGTTTTGGCATGTATTTTCTTTATATGAATGTTGATGGAGGTGGGAACTTTTCTTGCGACGGATATGAAGCCGTTCTAATCTTGATGCAGCGGGATTAATGTTGTCTATTGACCATGCGTGGGGAGTACCAGAAAGATTTGCCATTGATATTATGATTGAGGTGGGCAAAAGCAGACAAAGAAGTAGTAGATGTGAGAAAGTTGCACACTACTGAAATATATGATTGATATATATGGCAACAGGGATCACAAATTATGAGTGAGCTATTTACCGTTAGGTAATAGAAGTGATGCAATACCATATATAAACAAAAGTGAATAACTCAATAACATTTATAATATACACTACCAAAATACTATTACTTGTGAAATTATCCACTTCAATATGGGAGGCAATGGGAAATGAACTATTATTGGAATTCAAGAAGCAATATCACAGCTAAGATAATCTACGTTCAAAATGCAAATATTCGATATAAGTATTTTACAATTAAACCCTTACATTCATGCTGAATAGGTGAACGCTAAAGTTAAATTTGATTCGTGTAATCATCAAGTGAATTATTATAAGTTTTCATATGCCATCCCTTTGGAAACTTGATATTTTGCCATTATATGTTCTAAATAAATTGAGGAGCTTTGAGCCAGCGTCGACGACCGCAGCCTCCATGCCCTTCTTTCTTGCCCAAAACCCTAGCTTTCAGTTTCAAAGCTTCGGAAATGACCTCTCGCAATTGAGCTTGATGCCCAGTACAAAGTAGCAACACCTGAAAGCAGAAATGAAGAAAACGCTGTTGCCGGAGCTATTTTGCAGTTAGCGGTAACGATATTTGAACATGCCGTCTCGTCTTCTATCTCTTGGTCGGGTAAATTGTAATAAATTTTTGTATCCCTCGGCTTTGTACTTCCTTTGAGATTTCTGTAAATATTAACTAACTTAACATCTCTGAAAAAAATATTGCTCCTGTAAATTTGCAATTAATTAGTAAAACTAAACTATGAATTGTTTTGTTGGCATAGCCTGATAGCTCATCTCTCACGTTAGATTTTTGGGACAACTATGGGGAGTAATAGTCTGTGTTTGCCTTGGCCCAAAAAAAAAAAAGAGCGTTTGCATTGGACTTTGGAGAATTGAAGATCTAAGGAGTGTTTGGTAACTCTCAAAGGTGTTTTTGAGAAATACTTTTCCGTAAAACGAGGCAAATTCCTCCACATACTTATTTCGTAAACTGTAAAAGCACTTATGAAACTATGGTTTGGTTTCCATCCAATCACTTTACTCATAGTTTATATCTGAATGCTTTTTTTTTTTTAAATGTCAATTTTACAAGTTGAAACTTGGTTAAAATCAAGTAAAATTAGTTTCAGCTGTAACTTAAAGTTTGGGGAAAGCCATTTGCTTTGAATCTTATTTTAAAAAAAAAAAAGTTCAACCAATTTTTTTTAAGGTTTTTAATGAAGACAGCACAAACCAAACAAATAATCATTGTGCCTTTTCATTTTTTTTACCAACTCATTAAGTATGATTAAATAGTAACAAGAGGATGCTTCTTCCGGGATGCTTTTTCATATCAGCTTTTAGCCTATGGATAGAAAGCTAATCCAAACATCTATTAAGAGACTAAACGTGCTTATAGATTTTAGAAGCTGTTTTACCTACTTACTACAAATGTGAATTTGAATATGCTTCTAGGCAGTGAAGGCTTAAAAATTAGCAGGCGGTTGAGATTACTTAAGTGTTCAAAGGGGTGCATTGGTGGTTGAGAGAGAAAAAGATGGAGTAAAAATATAGTTAATGGTTTGGTTCAGAGATAATGATAGCTGCCAGCTTGTGAATATAGTATAGTTAGTTAATGGGGACGGTGTTATAGGGTATCGAATACAAGTATTAAGATTAACAAAGAAAAATTTCTCAGGATGCTCCTAATCGAGAATTAGAACGCCGACTCATATGTTATGAAAAAGTGAATAAGTGCGCCAATTAAATTGTTAGAATAACTTGTAACATTTGATTTGAAGTTCAATGTACTCCCTCCGTTCCTTAATATAAGAGACATTTGATGCTTATGGCATGTTCCTATATATAAGAGACACTTACAAGTTGTCTCTACTTTTTTGTGTTAATTTATTATTTTACCCATATTTATTATCTCCAACTCACACTCTCTCTCCCTCTCACTTCTCTTTCTTTTAATAATTTAATTGTTCTCTCTCATGCTCTCTCTCCTTATTAATGAGGGCATTTTTGAAAAAAAAATTATACTTTTTACACATTAATTGTTCTTAACTAATTTTAACTGTTTTTTTGATCAACGTACTTCGGTTATTTGTCTCTTATAATAAGGAACGGAGGGAGTACTATTTAGTGTTCGAAATGGATTGAAAAAGATAACAGAAATATTTATGTATTTTGTTATATTTTTGTTTTATTCTTTGACTCTGTCATGCTTTTAAAAACCCCTTAGTTTGCAGTGGTGGCATTGAGGTATTGTATTTTAGGGAGAAAAATTACCAATCAAGCTAAAACGACAACTACCTAATCAATTCATCAATTTTATTTCCCATTTTATGAGGAAGAATTATAATGAGGTTCGAGGCAAATAAAATAATTACCAAAAAACTCTAATAACACTCTAAGCAGCTTGTAATAACAAGTTCTAAAATAAAAAATAATAACTTTTAAAATTTGTTTTGTAATTATTTTTTTAACTTTATTGTGATTCTCCCATTTTATTGTGAGATCTCTTTCCTCATCTCCGATGATAAAACTATAAGATCTTTAATGATGGGCCTGGCCTCCGGGGAGCGAGCCCCAATGTGGGCCGTTGGGCTGAATAATCCAATAAAAGCCCAAGTTCCTCTGAATGCAAGCCCCATTTTATTTTTGCTAATTTCCGTGTTCTTTCTATTTCCTCCTCCCATCGGTCGCCTCCGACACAGCACGCCCTCTCCCTTGTCCCTTCACCGCAAATTTGTTTTTATTTTAATTTTTTTAGAAGAAGGAGTTTTTGACGGACGATCCCTCCAAACTTCAAATATTCGAATCTAAGGCCTCTCAATATGGGATTTCATGTAGCTTGCCCAATTACATGGTTCCGTACTACTTTCTCACTCTAAGAATCTCTTATCTGTTTCTCTGTTTTAACTTTCCCTCCCTTTTTTCCTCGTAATCACAAAGTTCTGTACTTTTTTCGCTCTCGTTTTGTGTTTTCTGGGGGCATTTTCAGTCGCCGAATCTGCTACTGCTCCTTAGGATTCCCTCGGAGTCTCCATACTGTAGCGGCCAAGAATGGGTTCCTCGATGACGTTGTCTGTCTTCGGGAATTCCTTAAGGATCCCTCCGGACTTGGAGTTTCCTCGGACTCCTCGCTCACCTTGCAAGTCGCGGTCCCCAAGGTTCTGCAATTGCCGCCTCCGCCCGGGCAATTGAAGTCCTCAGTGGTCGGAGATGCGGTGAACGAGGCGGCTTCGATGCAGGCCAAGCGGGTTGCTATGCAGCGGAAGGGAGCTGCCGCCATGATTGCCGCCGAAGAGTACGCCCGTCGTTTTGAGTCCGGGGATGTGCTGGTGAGGTTTCCGGCACTGTTTTTGTGACTATCTGTGCGGTGGCATGTGGACTGTCGGACAAGTGATAATTTTTTGAGAGCTTTACCACATCTAATCTGTTGTGTCGTTGGATTAAGTCAAATTTTGAGTTTGGATAGGCTGAAGAGATAAGAGAAAAGTTTTATGTTGCCGCCTCATTATAAAGCTAATCCTTGTTCTTAGGACACTAGAAGAGTGCACATCAATTTAGTTGTGATTTTCAGGTGTTGTTAATGTCATTATTATTTGCCTTGTAACTGCTGTGGAGCTTCTTTTAATTTGTACGTGTTATTGCATTGACTTGATCATGCATATATGGTGGACGCCTAAGCATAGTACGGAACTCTCCCAAAAAGCTAATATTTGAGGTTAGAGGACCAACCTACTCAAGTGTCCATGGGATTATGCAACCCTTACTGTTTTAGTCTTCAGATGAATATACTGTAGACATTTTATTCTGGGCGTTTGAATATTCATGGACTTTACCTTCATGGTCTAGTCAAGTGTATCATTGTCGCTCTGTCCCTTCTTAATTCTTGTTATAACATGAAATTATGTTCACAGGCAAAATCAGGAAAGACCACTGGAGAAGAGTGTAGTGAATCAGATGTTAAAGTCTTTTGTCGGATGTGCAACTGTGTGGAAAATGAAGGCAGTGATAGAGAGAAAAAGATGCTTCCATGCAAGAGTTGTGGTAAAAAGTACCACATAAACTGCCTAAGAGTTTGGGCTCAACATAGAGGTTAGAAGAAATATCTAACCATATTCTGATATGAACTATGACTTAGATAGCACATGTTCTCATTTTCTTGCTTTTAATTACAGATTTATTTCATTGGACTTCATGGACCTGTCCTGCTTGCCTAATTTGCGAGGTAATGTGTGATTTGCATTGCTAGCGATCTTTTTTCCCTCCCCAGTTACTAATCCTAAATATGTGTCTTATTGAGTTTTATGTATTTGCTTGACTGCCTTGTTATTTTAATTTTTTACTCTGGGCTTCTTAAACATTAAAATGTAGCTTTCTTAAACTTCTATGCACATTGCTTAAGCTCTCAATCAGATGAATGATTTTGCGTCTTTGATCATTGTGCAAAGAGAACTAGATAAGGCATAATGTTTTAAGTTATATATTGCTGGATATGAGATGTACTACATGACAGGGAATCGTGTTTAGTACTACCACCAACTCTATGTACTTTGTGATGCTTGAGATCATTGCCTATGTATTAATTTGTCTCTATCTGGAAATTAAGTTGGTTTTATTTAGAATGTGGCAAGTTGATTGAGTCATGAAACAAGTTAGACTTGAACCTGTTACCCTTATCAGTAGGTTGTCTGTGCAATCAGATGGTGAGATTAGCATTGGCTATATATAATTTAAAAATTCTTGGCAGAAGAGGGGGAAAAAAGAAGAAGATAATTTTAGGGACATCAACCATTAGAGTCATTAATTATTTCACAACCTTGAAGATATTTCTTAAATTCACCTAAGTGGTTTTTTACTCTTTTTGTAGTTATGTTGCTTGTATCATTAGTTGTGTGATCTTGGTTGCTGATCAAGCAGTTGCTATCGTCAACTCACGTTTCATTAAAGTTAGTCACAATGTCACATGCTTTCCCCACTTTTTTCCAGGCTTGCCGAAGGACTGGAGATCCAAGTAAGTTCATGTTCTGCAAAAGGTGTAATGATGCTTACCATTGCTATTGTCTCCAACCTCCTCAAAAGGTCATTGCGTATCTCTCATAGATGGGCGTTAATTGATTTTGTAGTATCTCATCATGATTATTCACAATGCAGAACATTAGTTCGGGGCCCTATTTGTGCACAAAACATGCAAGGTGTCACAGTTGTGGATCCAATGTGCCAGGAAATGGATCAAGTGTAAGGTATCATATTAATATCTTTTGGTGATTCTTCATTTTCTAGTCAATGCTACTTCTTTAGATTCAGAGCTAATTATCTGAGAAACGTACTTGCCATTTGCTTTTTGATCTATAGGTGGTTTCTGGGATACACCTGCTGTGATGCATGTGGAAGGTTGTTTATGAAAGGGAACTACTGTCCTGTCTGTTTGAAGGTTTCAATATTTTTTCCATACTGATTTTCTTTCTTGGAATGGGTGATGGGAGATGTTCATTTGATAGATCTTGCCATCAATTAATTTATTTAGTCAAAATATTTAGAAAGATACATAATTTTACATATGACTAGCGGTAGAATTCTTTTGGTATAAGAATAATGGCAATAGAATTTCAAACTTAAATGATGGCATTGAAATCTCAGGGACCCATTAGATAGATAACATGCATGTTACTATTGTTACTATTTTATATTTTAGTTTTTGATTTCCTTTTTCTTTCGCTTCTATTTTTTATCTGTTTTTACTGGATATTTGGATAGTGAGGTCTGGATGTCAAATAGTTGACTGAACACTCTTGGCACATTTTGTAGGTTTATAGAGATTCAGAATTGACACCAATGGTTTGCTGCGATATTTGCCAGCGCTGGGTACATTGCTATTGTGATGGTATTAGGTTAGTTTCATTGCTTTTACTGTACTTTATGGACTACCATCTAGGATACCAGAATATACATTCTTGTTGACGGTACATTGTGCTTTTAATGTTTTGTTTGGCAGTGAGTGATAACCTATGGCATACATCATTATCTGGAGTTTATTTACGCTGGATGACTCTGTTTCCACCCTGTTGCCCCTTCTTTTATTGATTGAATAGCTGTTGACCTCTTAACAGTCTTTCTTGTTTATATTGCCAGTTTTGTAAGGTACCATCTCTATTGGTCTAGAATTTACCGTATCAGTTTAAATTTATTATTTTTTATGGCATGTTTTGCAGTGATGAAAAATATCACCAATTTCAAGTAGATGGGAATCTGCAGTATAGATGTCCTGCATGTCGTGGTGAATGTTATGAGGTATTTGGAAGGCCCTTAATACTTATATCCCTTTTCATGTTCTGACTTTGATCTCCACGTAAAAGTACATTGCAACGATTATTTTTATTTGTACTTCTCAATACTCATCTCATAAGTCTGTATACTCCAGGTCAAAAATATTAAGGATGCCATTCAAGAGCTCTGGAAGAGAAAGGATGTAGCCGACAGAGATTTAATTGCAAGCTTGAGGGTTCAGGCTGGTTTACCAACTCAAGAAGAAACTTTTTCTATTTCACCATATTCAGATGATGAAAATGGTGGACCTGTAAAGGTAAGGAGTGAATCTGGGCGTTCCCTTAAATTTTCTTTAAAGACTTTTTGTGATGACTTGCCAGAGAAATTAAGGATAATGGAAGGAAACATTCAATTAATGGAAAAAGTGATGTTGAATATTTGCATAGCTCTGATAATGATATCAAATCGCAGAGAAATGAGGTTGGCAATCTCAATTCTTCACCTGCTGCTGGATGTCCTGTCAGTCAGTCAGGGATATTGAAGGGCAAGTTTATAGAAGAGGTGTCATTTAGTGATAAAGAGCAGAAAACTAGAGGTTTTCAAATTAGGAACACTAAGGCACATGGCGTGGATCGTGTGGAGGAGACTGGAGAAAATGACAAGAGGACTCAAACTGTGCAAGGGAAGAAGTTGATTGTCAATTTGGGGCCACAGAAAGTTAATATGACTAGTTCTCCACAATCCGATGCCATAAGTTGCCAAAAAGATCAAGATATGGTTGCTCCCAGTGGTATGTGGTTTTATCACGATCAATTGGTTCCTTTTCCCCTCTATTTATTTTGGAAAAAATGGAGATTGTAAGATATTATTATGTGAACGCGGGCTATGGTGGATCTCTTATTTAAGATCCCTCGTGAAAAAGCCCCGGTGAAATGTAGTAGACGTACACCAGAGAATAATCTTTAAATCAATTTTCACTTGTTATAATGTGTAGTTATGCCAAGTAGCAATGAACAATGATTCTGCTTTCTGTGTGTTCTTCATGGATGATCATTTGGGTTTCTGTTGCATCCGTTTCCTTTCTATCATGGGATTTTTGGGTTGAAATTGAATGTCACATTTGTCAACTAATATATATGCTTGTGGAAAGAGAAAAGCGGATCTTTTCATCAGTATATCATTGGATGTTACTGTCCATTATTCCGGTGGTTAGCGTTTGGAGACCATCTGACCTGGGTTCATATGAATTGCAGGGAGCAGGGTTGACACTCGTCAATCAAAAGTATTGAAGGTTTTTAGAAGAGAGAGAAATCTCAGAGGTAATATTTCTGGGGAAAGTGAAGCTGTTCCTTTAGAGCAACCTCGCATCTTGCTTGAAAAACGTAGTTCTGAAGGAATAGCTGATCAAGTTGGAAATGGAGCAGCAATGTCGGGAGGTGAGAGGACGTCTTTGGGAAGGCCTCCAGAGGGGAGATTTGGTTCAAATGATGAATCAGATGACAATGAGTATCAGACACCTTCACATTCTTTGCCCAAAGATTCTAAACCCTTGCTGAGGATCAAGTTCAAGAAACCTGGCATTGAAAATCAAAATTTGTCTTATTGGGAGGGGATGAGTGTGATCAAGGGTCAGAGGTCAAAAAGGAAGAGACCTTCACCATTGACGAATAAAGCATCTCTCCATTACGAGGACGTAACGCATTCAAATCAGAACACTCAAATGGATGAAATAATGGATGCGAACTGGATATTGATGAAATTGGGTAAAGATGCAATCGGCAAGAGAGTTGAAGTTCATCAGACATCTGACAATTCTTGGTGAGCGTCTCATATCCTTTCACTGATTCTGCAAATTCGATGTAGGAGGGAATAGCGTATGAATCATATAATTCATCACAGGCCAAACTAGTCCATTGCCACAATTATCCTCCCTAATGTGCTCTTTGAAACTCCACTTTTTAGCTGATAAAATGGTCCCCCCCCCCCCCCAAAAAACAAAAATTTGCATCCAAATTTTATCATTCATAACTTACTCTTTATCTCTTGAATTCAAATCATACTTTTGAACTTCATTGTAATGATGTTAATCGTCTGCTTTTCCACAAAACTGCTGTGTAGCTATAACAGCAAGAAAACTAGAGTAGGGAATCTGATATGGAATCGGTCCCTTCCCTTGTGTCTTTTTTGATTGTTTTAACCAGGAACAAAGGAGCAGTCACTGGCATAATTAAAGGTACTTCAAAGCTTAGTGTTGCCTTGGATGATGGGACAGTGAAGATGTTAGATCTTAACAAGCAAGCGGTCCGATTTGTTCCTCAGAAGCACAAGAGTTCAAAAGCTTGAATGGCTCGGCTTGTCTCTTTACCCTCAAGAGACATTTGTACATTTGGGCAGTATGTAGGTTGTAGTTGATTGGATTGAAAATTAACTATAAGTCCTTTGAATTTCAAAGGTGAAAATAAAGGATACGTATATATATATATATATATATATATATATATATATATGTATATGTATATTTACAAAGAAAATCTTGGGATGTTTCTACCTGAATGCTTATTAACTCTCCTTGATGGACGTGAAGGTCTTGCATAGACTCTAAATTGAGAACACATTAAAAAAAATTAAAACGGTTCAACAAATACATAATCGTTAGACAATTTATTAGAAGAATAAAGAATCCTAAGCAAGTTATTGCTGATCCTTTTAAAAGTTCGTTCTAAAATCAGTTATTAGCATTGTTTTTTGGGGGAAACTAAATAATTAGCAGTAACAATGCAATTAAATATTATATGTGAACTCGGAAAATCCCTGCAATCCTAGAGTACCAATAGGCGATAGTTTCGAAATACAATTGTTGTGCTAACATGTTCTTTTTCATTAATCAATGCTTTTCACTACCCATAGATAGAATGAAAGAAAAAAAGTCTAAAAATTAGTCGGAAAAAATTAAACTGCTTGAGACGTTTGAACATTGAATTAAAGTTATTTATATTGCGAAAATTAAGGACTTTAAATATTACATATTGGTTTATTAGTTATTAACAAAAATGCATATTGTTTTAAACATTCTTAATCGATACAATAATATAGACGTACAGATCACTCTTAAAAAAAAAAAAAAGGCAAAAACTTATAATTGCTTGGGAAAATCGTAAAAAAAATATTTTTAAAATAGAAAAATTGTAATTGCTTTATCAATTGATATTTAAAAATAATTCGAATACTTCAGTTAATACACAGTGCAAATTAACTGTGCACTGTTGTTACATTAATAGATGATTTGCCTGCAGTAATATCAAATGTTCAAACATACTTTTTTATGAAGAAAATAAAAATCAGTAAAATTATGATTAAGTTTTATCTCTTATTCCACGCTTCGCCACTAATAAATATTTATAAATTATTTTATCTCAACATATAAAATACTATGAAAGTGAAAAAAGCGAGATAAAAATTCAAATATATTAATGTTTAAATCTAATAAGTTATCTTTTAAAACGCAATAAAATATCAAATTCGATTGACTTATTTTTATATTATCATGATTTGTTTTAGATCTTCTCTTTAGATTATCCCTTTATTAATCAAGTTTTTCTCTAAACATTTATCTCAATCCTTTACAAGTTCAAAATCTTTTATTGTTATCCTAGTCCTATGTATCGGCCTACTCCTCTCTTTATAAATCAAATCCTCCTCATCACAATTTTCTTCTTCAACTTTCCTTTAGAACACTCTTTTCTTTCCAGTTCATCTGATCCTACTCAGATCCCCCCCCCCCCCAAAAAAAAAAAAGGTTCTAAAAGGCAATGAATATTCCTTCTCGTGTTAGAGTTAGATATAATTGTGAAGTTCTTTATCCACTAAGCACAATTATCCCTACTGATCCCAATAATTACCCCATTAATCCTCCTAATGATGATGATCAATACATCAACATCACAGCTGCTAAATCAGTATGGGACTGGCAAATGTTGGATCCTACACGAGTTGAAAGCTCAACCCTTGTTAATACATATTCCACAACACATGATTTCTTCAACATCTCAAAGAACTCCATAGATCAAATTGCAAACCTTATTCCTTCTCATTTTGGTATCCCTTCATTCTCCGGCAGATGCATGGCAAGAAAGATCTTGGATTCTGCAAGAAACATGCTTAATAATACTCATAAAGACCAGAAGATCTTGTTCATGGCTGTGGTTATTGAAGTTGTTAAAACTTGGTGTTATCATTCTGATCCCACCACTGGTGATTCCTATCATCAGGCTGCGGAGGCATCTTTGGAAGCCCTGGCGAATCAAAGTCTTATGGCAGTGCCTGCAACTAAATCATTTATTGAGGAATTGGAAACTGTGAAGGTGAAGAAGAAGAAGAAAAGTTAATAAGTAACTGTGCGATTTGTTTGGAAGATTTCAAAGTTGGATTCTTAGAAGTTACTCGTTTGCCTTGCTCGCATTTATTTCATAAAGCTTGCATTGTTGAATGGCTGCAGAGCGATGGTATCTGTCCTTTGTGTCGTTTTCGAATGCCTATTGAATGATAACTGATTCAAGTTATTTAATTAGATTCTTTTCCTTTCTTTTTTTGGCATGAAATTAAAGTAAACTAGATTTGTTTGTCAATTTAGTCAATTACATTATACTACCTCCTGTCCTAAATATAATAATAATTAACTAATCACATAGCGTCGTGCGATTCATGTAGCCGACCCTATCTAGTGGAATAAAACTTTGTTATTGTTGTATTTGTAATAAATAGGTTATCTTTTCTAAATATTTTTACTAATCAAGTATATTGGTTAAAACTATTATTATTAGAAAGACTGCCTTGGAAAAAAATGAGAGACAAAGTGAATTGGGGTCTTATATTTAGAACTAAGTAAAAGTCAAATGAGGTTTTACATTAAGGATCAAAGATAGTATTGGTGATGCAAATTATACGGACCGAATTACCTTTTTTTTCTAACGCATATTGCATACCATATTGTTTTCCTTGATATGTTTCGTTTGTGTGTATGATATACTGTTAGCTCTTAACTGTCTTTGCTATAAATTTTAATTTTATACTGTTAATTCCATGAAAATAAATGAAAAGGATATGAAACGGATTGAATTATTTTACCTGCTATTTAAAGGTCTGAAAGACAACCATATACATCAAGATACATTCTTATGCTGAAAAGTAAAACAAATATGAAAATTATTCCTCAACTTTCTAATAATGCATTGAGTTCCTTGATCTTCTATCTTTGTTGGCACAGTCAAAATTTAACAAATTTAATTTTAAACCGAACAAGAAAATCTCTCAGGCTCTCTCAGCTGTAAAATATACATAATCAGAATTTCCCCCCCACTTGTGTATATACAATGTTAGTTAACTTCCCAATCATACTCTGTTACTTGATAATAAACACATAACACCTGCTGGACAATATATAAGGTTTCATGTCATAAATATATAAAGATATATTTCAAAATTCACTCTCCCTTGTCATCATCATATTTGGACATTGCCTCCTCCAGCTTGATCACTATTCCCACCTGCGGTTACTGCAACCCAGATCAATGAAATTATAATGGAAAGCAGCCCTAGCCACACTAAAAGTATTGTGGGAACCCTTCCTCTCTTGCCCATTAACCTTTAGCAAAAGGGTACATATGAACCAAAACCCATAAGCTAAAGAACAAGCCTCCCAATAGCCTATTCCACTGTGGTATCACACTGTATATGGTCCTTGCGCATCCTATTACCATAGCTATGATGTTGATGCATATAATGGTTAGTGGCACGATGAAGAGACTTGTCCATTTCACATGTAAAGATCGGCGTAGATATCTTCGTCTTCATCTGCGGCTGACTTAGATGTTAAAGTGAAGGAAATCTCAATGCCTGCTATGACTTTTAGCAGACCTTGTAACACTGCAGCGAGGTGAGCACTAGAACCACCAATGACCCAGAACTGCTCGTTTCGCCAAAATTCCTCAAGGGCAATGCCTGACCACTTCACTTCAAGAAGGGAGATCAGAACAAGGCAGACGGTGATGGAGAAAAAGATACAAAAGGAAGGCTACGTTTAGGCCTGGAACTATGAAGTTGTTGGTGAAGAGGCAGAGTGCAGGGAGAAAGCAGTAGACAACCAAGAATATAGAGGTGAAGGGGTATATGCCCACATTGAGATATGCGACTCTTTGCGAGAACTTGAGGCGCTTGCTTCCAAATATGGCGTTGTTTTTTGAGAAGAAGATTTCTACTGAGCCTGTAGCCCATCTTAAAGCTTGATGAAGCCGATCAGTCAGATTGATCGGAGCCGTGCCGCGAAAAGCATCACGCTTTGTAATGCAGTAAATTGACCGCCACCCACGGTTGTGCATCCGGTAGCCAGTCACCACATCCTCTGTCACTGACCCATAAATCCAACCCACCCTGTCCCCCCATTCAGTTTTGTCCTCGTACCTGCGGGTCCATACACAAGAAAAACATCATGGGTATATCAACAAACATTGAACAGATTTTGGTGGATAGTTTAATGAAGAGTCAAGAAAGAGATTAGTTAGCATAATGCGATACCAGCAAGAGATGACAGCTATGGCTTCAGCAACAGTGGGTGCATCCAAAGGAGGACGTGGCTTGAGTAACGATCCTGGTGGTCTACCATTCTTAACAGATTTGTGATCAGCTAGTGGTCGGCCTTGGAATTCAGTCACAGGTATGCTGTCTGTGAACATAGTAGAATTACCAAACTTCTGGGGAAATCCAAGATCTGAGTCCGAATCAGAGTTCAGAGGCTGCCGATCATCATCCACTCGTGATCGTGCCTGTAGTACATCTCGGTTTACTTTGGTTTTTACTCTCCCAAACACGCCTGTGTGCTCATAGAACCTCGGTGGTTCAAATCCATACAGTGCGTATCTCCGAAACATGCAACCTGTCCCAACATACATTGGACCCTGCAGACCATCTAGTGCCCGCATATTTCCTGTTGATTGTTACAACCAATATCCAGTAAAACACGCATTACGGTAAACAATATTTGTGTGTGTGTGTGTGTGTAGAGAAAAAGAGAGAGAGGCTGGGGCTTTTACCATCAAAGAAGACTGTATTATTATTTGCATATCGATCAGAGGGATCAACGCCGTCAAACCTCTGAGGAAACTGTATGTAACATATGCGATCACCACCACGATCCATCATGAAGCACATTCCCTCCCTTACAGCTTTACTGTTATAGAAATAATGGTCACAATCCAAGTTAAGAATAAAGGCTCCATTGGACAATATAGCCGAGGCTCGAACCAAGGCATTCATGGCTCCTGCTTTCTTGTTATGATCATATCCTGGTCGTTTTTCTCTAGAAACGTAAGCAAACATGGGGAGTCTGATGTCTACACCTGTGAAGTCCAATCTCTTTTCGTCTGCAGTTCCCATTACTGGATCAAATTCTGGCACCTTACACATTATCTACAAGTAACAAATATGAGGAAGACTTAGG